AGCCGTTCCCAAGCCCGGTTGAAAAAAGAGGAGGGTTGAACGCAGGGATGCCATTCCACCATGTCAAATATTTTGACACGAAACCTACTAACACCTACTATGAAGTCGGCAAAGGTCAATAGTAATATACCCGTGGGGACTCGTTCGGCTGCGGGGAGCCCCGAATCAATGCCTCAAGTAGTAATTGATAGAAGGGATCTGAATAGACGACATATAAGGCTTAAAGAAAAGTTCTTTAATATCAGTATAATAAGTGTACATGCACAGACAGGGGAAAAAGATGATGAAGGAAAGGATGTTTTAAGAAATCTGTTTAAAGAACTAAGGAAGTTTTATAAAGGTGTAAAAGAGTTCCAGAATGGATTAACTCCAAGATCCGGCTCCATAAGGGACGAGCAGGGTTACCTACTTCATGCACTTCATAAAGAGGTTCTTGGTAGTTGGCAGAGATACTTTTAGGAAGTATTAGAAGTGGAAGAAAAGGCCAACTACTTGATAGACACAAGGAACTATTTAGAGTACCAATGTACAAAAAGAAGAGCCGACCAGAATGTAGAAATTGTTGTGGAATATCCCAACTTTTAACAGTAAACAAAGTGCTCTCTATAGCGATCAGCAAGTTATTAAAATTTGCTGAGAAAGTAGTAGGTGAATACCAATTAGGTTTTAGACCAGGTCATATATTCTCAGTAAGGCAAATGCTGGAGAATGCAAATGGGTGTAATATAACTCTACATCAAGTATTCCTCGATTTCAAACAGGCCTATGATACTATAGATAGAGAGAATATGTACAAACGCCTGCATTCTTTAGGAATCCCCAGGAAACTTATTAGGTTTATCCGCATGGCTCTAAAGAGTACATCCTGTAAGATCAAGATCGAATGGAGGTACTCTAAAGGCTTTGAGGTGGGAAAAGGATTACCATAATTTGACCCACTGTCAGTTTTGCTCTTCAATTTTGTATTAGAATCCACCATTCGTAAAATTATAAAAAAAAATCGGGTAACTATTTTCAACGGCCTGGCTTTTGCGGATGATATGGTAATCTCAGCAAGAACACTTCAAGCTTTATAAGGTACACTGGAAGAGTTCCTGGGAGCTACAAGGGAACTCGGGCTTGAGATTAATGTGCAGAAGACAATGTATATGCATACAGCAAAAAGGTATGGTGAGGAGCAGACAATTCAACTGGGTGAGTACAAAATACAATTTTGTCCAGAATGCAGGTATCTCGGTAGCTTGATAATCACAGATAGTTTGACCGAAGCTGACATAAATGCCAAAATAGCTACTGGAAATCGCTGCTTATAGGGTTTGCAGAAGGTCCTTATGTTCAAGAACCTCTCAGGAAAGGCAACGTTCTTGATCTATAAGACAACAGTAAGGCCGGGTGTCATCTATGGGAGCGAATCATAGACCTTAACAGCAAAAAATAAGAAAATTTATAAATATGGAAAGAAAAGTTTTTCGTCGAATATTCGGTGCAGTGAAAGCGGAAGATACCTGGTGAATTAGAACGAACAAGGAACTGCAGGATTTGTTTGACATCGTCTCTTATATCCAACTGGGCCGATTAAGGTGGTTGGGGCGTATAGAGAGAATGGACTCCGGTAGAATCCCTAAAACAATGCTCTATGGGAAGCCAAGGGGTGGACGAAAGCGGGGGAGACCTTGACTGCGATGGCTGGATAATGTCGAGGCAGACCTGAATACTTTAGGTGTACACTGCAGAAGATACGCTACGGACAGAGCCGAATAGAGCAAGCAGTGATGTTGGCCAGGATCCTATATGGACTGTAGTGCCAGTTAGTGAGTGTGAGTGAATAGAAAATTTAACTCTTAAAACATTAATATAAAAATCTGGTGCTCGCAACACACTAATTTCACTTATAGCTCAACTGTGAATATAAATTATTTTCTGGCCATGTTGGGCTATTATAAAGTTAAAGTTATTGAATTGCATTTTTAACTATGCATTTTAACTATACCTAAAGCTAAGAGATTGCAGTAGGAAAATCAAAAATACTATTAAAATAACAAAAGTCCTATTTATTATATCACCGGTTGATTATGGATTGTACGACTCGTTGATTATGGATTGTTAGATCCGTTGATTATGGATTGTACGACTATTAGTTATTAAACTGTTATTTTCCATTGCAAAGTTTATTGAAACGGAATTAAGAGATTTGCATTGTCTGTCATAGACAGGTCAAAAGTTGTCACACTAATTTTAAGTGGATTCTGTTGGAATATCGCTAAAGGAAAATTTATCAAATTATTCACTAATTTAATTTTCTAAAAGGTTACATAATGATTTTTCGGAATAAGCGTACGATAGATAGATATCTAATTATTTAAATATAATGTCATATCTAGAGTCATTAAACTACAGTAAATATATTTAAGGTTATAAACGTATCCATGAAATATTTTTATATTTCACGTCTTCTTTCACACAAGTACAATGGAATAGTATCTTAAACAATGTCATTGCCTTGAATCCGTGGGTTTTAATTACTTTTCCCCCCAATGTTTCGGAATAAACATTGATACCTAATTATTTAAATATAATATCAGATCCATAATCACTAAGCTACAGTAAATGTATTTAATATTATGAACATATGCTTATACATCCATGAAATGATTTTATATTTTACTTCTTCTTTCACAAAAGTACAATGAAATAGTTTTTTTAACAATGCCATTGCCTTGATTAGGTGGATTTTAAATACTTTCAACAAACGTAAAAATATTTTTTATAGTTTACATTTAGTTAGTAAATTTCATTTAATTTCCTTGAAAACATGTGATTTATGATAAATATTATCAGTTTTCAAAAATTATTATTTATAATTTTTTCGCCAGTCCCCGTTACCTTCTACAACTTTCTATATTAGATATTGTTTTTTCTAAAATTCTCCGCTTTCCAATGGTATATTATAAGTATATACTGACTTGTATTTCCGAAGATTCATTTTCCAAATGTATAAGCATTTTTATTTTTTTCTCCTTTATTCAATTATCAAATTCTTTCAAAAGTTATATTTAGCATTTTTTCGTAACTTTTAATAATGAGAGATAGTTCTTTATTTAAAATAAATCATATTAAAGGTACTTTAGAGGAAGACGCATAAAAACATTGGACATTAAAACCCTGCAAAGTGACATCAACGGGGATAAGCCCGAAATGATATTAAAGACCACTTAATTATACAATGAGAAACCGAGTTTAATCAAAATCGTTAGAAAAATGTGTTTCATTATTGATATTAAGAGGCATTTTCAGTTAGTAGATTTTAAGGAAAAAGTTGCCTGGGCATCAAAGGCATATATCTATCTTAAATATGTAATATTAATTTCGTACGACTTTTCGGTTTCGAGCTTGTGTTCATATACACAGACTATTTTTCGGGACTTGTATATTGCATATATAGATAAGTGAAAGTAAAAATTTTAAATCAAACTATTGCCAGAGCTCCTCCTGCTGACTAGATACGCCATAAAATTATTATAAAATTGATCTAATATAAAAACTTCTTTGTTTTTTAAATGTTCTAAATCATTGCTGTAAGCCAGGGGTTCTCAACTTTTTTTTCCGCAGCCGGCACAGTTATAGGCTATGTCTTGAGTGGGGGACATCATGTTTTTGTTCATTGTAAATTGCATGTAGGTTACTTTTTATAAATTTAAAAAGAAAATGCAAATGGTATCAATAAAATATATATATACTTATAGTAGCAGACATCTTGTATTATTTCTAATACAAATGAAATATATTTCTACAGAAAAGTCAAAAACACCAAGTGCAATGATTGTATTAATTTTATATATTTTTATTAGATTAAATTAATACATTTTCAAATCAAAATTAATTTAAAGCGACATAGGTTATAACTAGTTATAAAATGAGTTAACTGCAATGTTACCAGCAGTTTCATTCATTTTTTTACTACCAAAGAATGAGATTAATTAAAACAGAAGTAATGATATTATATCGATAAATGAATTATTATTTTTAAAAAATGATTATTATTATTTCATTAGGAATTTTAAAACATATGAATTGAAAACGATTGAAGGCGATGGTTGCTAAAGATTATGTTAGACATAGGCACAAGTGATGGGTTGGAGTTGCTCCAGGGTTGGAGCTCTGGGTTGAGAATCCCTTGTGTAAGCAAATAATCATTAGTTGAGCACTATTTTTTTTTAGTATATTTCAAAAAGCTGGAAGGAAAAAAAACATAATCCAGAACTGATAAAACAAAAAATCAATTAAAATATTACTTTGTGTATATTTTAGGTTTAACGGTACCATGTTTTTTAAATAATTGTTTGTGTAATTTTGGGGGAAATTAAGTAAACTAGATAAATAAATTAGGAAATCATAATAGATAGAAGTTTATTGAAATATTTTTAGAAAAATCATCAAATTAAAAAATTTTATTTTCCCATGATGTGACTCATGAATGGACTTCATACAACTTGCTCAACACCAATTTAGTCTTCCAAACCATCCAAGTTAATTGTTTTTTGTAATAATTGTGATTTAAATTGAAATACAAGTGAAAAATTCCCCTTAATTTGAAGCCCAGAAAAAAAACTTAACTAGCCTCCAACCCAAGAAGCTACGTACATATTTATTTATATTTGTTTGCCTATACAAGAGATCATGGGAAAACATCAATAATAGTGACAATCTATCGATACTTTTCAATAATCACAAGTACGAGTTAGAAAAACTTTTGTAAATGACCCAAAGTAAAACCTAACATTAACAAATGAGTGCATTATACTTTTATGTATGTTCAAAAACAAATCAATCATAATCCCTTTGACTGAAGACGGGATACATGCCTTCCCGTTAGGAATTGGGTCACTGGTGAGGCTGGGATATATACCTTCTTGCCTTGACTGTCACCACTTAAAGAGGTAGGAGCAAGTCCCACCTCCACCATTTGATTTGTGGCTTGGTCAGTGCATTAGACCCCTGTAGCTGACTCAATGCGGTCATTCCTGAATCTGACCATTTGGAAGTTGTAGATTTATTCTGAACCCAAGGTATATCCTTTCTCTGTTATTTTTCTCATATACATAATCTTATTTATATTCTATTTAAATGTTTAATAAATCAAATAAATGATAATAAGTTAATTTTATAATTTTTTATTTAAATTTAGGTTTTAACTGACTACTAATTTTGACAAACGTGAATCTCAGTCAACTAACAAATAAATGTAAGTTTCCTACATTTTTTCCAAATATTATGTATAACACAAATTGTTAATATAAATGTAAAAATTCCTACCGTCGGTGTTCTTTTTTTAGAAATAATATAATTTAATTTTTATGATCACTTACTGTTATTTATATGATAAATTTCAGTTATTTTGATTTTCAGAAATGTGCAAATAAGCAAGACAGCAAAGTGTAACAGGATTGTCGCTTGAAATTTTTCATTGCCATGTGCAGCCTGGAGGTCAGTCATATGTTTATTAAAAGTTAAATAAAAAGGTTAAAAGGCACTTTTGAAAGCTAAATCTTGCGGGGTGTCTCAAAATAGTATTTTAAGCTAATTTATACAAACAAAATCCATTTTTCAGAACGTCTTTTTTGATTCCGGGACTCACCATCTGGTAGAAACAATCGAATGAGCTGCCACACTCAAAAGGATTAAGCTTTGAATTTTTTTAAACAAAACAGACCACACATTATGCTGAAAATAATTTAACCAAAAAACTAAATGGTTGGATGAAATATGTAGAGAAGTTGTGATGTAAAACCAAACCTCTAATTTGCTTTCAATAAACGTTTCAAATCTTACAAATGTAAAGTAATGAATCAGTAAAGATAGCAGCAAGATACTTAATATCGCATAATAATCAGCAAAAAACTTTTGACATAGTGTAACCGAAAGAAAAAAAAATATTAGTGACCACATAAAATCCTGAGGAAATTCTGAATGGATTGATAATCACTTTAATATTTTATTTGACTTAATAACCAGTTTTATATCAAATTTATAATTCATTATTTTCAAAATCGATTTATTCCTTCATTGTAACGTATCAAAATTAACAAAATACCAAATTATAAATATTTTTGTATGGTTTTATATTTGAATTAAAACCATGGCAAGCACACTATTATATTAAGAGCGATTAGAAACACAGTGGAAAGATCAAATCCAAAATAAAATTTAAAAAAATGTGTTTATATATAAAAGGAGGAATAATTAATTTCAGCTACTAAATGGAATCATTCACTTGGAAACACTTTCTTTCATTACTTTTTCACAGAAAGCTTTACTGAGATTTTATATTTGATATATTCTACATTTGTTTGTACATATTTATATTTTACATTAGTTTGAATTCTTACAACACTGTAATTACTTAGGGTTTCTTATATTTAACAAGATGAATGACATTTGAATATCAAATGAAATAAAAACACATATTTGAAAATTAATTTTTATATTAAACGTAATTCACATCCTTACGAAAACTATAAATACACAAAAATTTAATGGCATTTATATTAATGCCAATACTTTAAATTTAGCTCGCACTAAAATAATGGATGTTAATAGAGGAGCTTAAAATCTTACACTACTATAAATAAAATTAAGAAAGTGAATTTACAAACAACTTTTATATGCATACAATATACTGTTTTTAAAGTAACATCCTGTCAATCACAGTTGTTATTTTACAGGCTTATAATTTTTGAAATTATAATCAAATTACGTATAAGAGAATAATATTTTTTACAATTATAATCTGATCATAATTTCAATGAACTAAATTAATCCAGCCATCATAAATTACATCAAATCTATAACAAGAACAAAATTTACTAAATGCGATGAAAAAATATATTAAATATTATATTTCAAAACTTCATGAATTGAAACAGATCAAAAGATAATCACAATTATATTTAACATAAAAAATAATCAATCATAAAATAAAGAGAAAAAAAATAAATAAACATAAGTTTCAACATACAAAAAAATTTAAGATGTATATTTCATTAAAAGCCACAAAATATAAAAAGAAAATATGTTTTAAACAAAGTATTTCTTTTTGTAATTTAATAATGGAAATCATATTATCCTTTCTTTGGACATTAAGTTCATGTAATCTTCGAAAACTCAAATTCACTAACATTAATCACTAAAATGAGAACAATTAATAAAACAATTTATACAAAGTTAGTTTCTTTACATTTTTTTTTTTTTTGTAGTAAAAGTAGAATATTTCGAACTGAAAATAACTTCAGATATTTGAAATTTAATAATTTGAAGATTTACCAACATCAGATAACTATCAAAACATATTAAATATAATTAATAAATAGGTTGGTCCTTAATATTTTGTCTTAGTTAATTTTTATTTTATTTCATTTTTGAGCAGAATACAATAATCAAGACATATCCGTCATATGAAAAATGAAAATCTTCTGATTCATTTTTACAAACTAGAATAAGAAAAAAAAAACATATGTGCACACTTATAAAAACACGGGATGTTCTAGATAATATGGTCAATATTAATACTGTATATTATTAGAAATGTTATAAATAGTTTATTTTCATAAAATTACATTGATATATTACTAATTAAATTAGAGTATTGAAGTTAAAAACAAACTAACTTGTATATACTTATAATATGAAAGGAATTCAGAAACTAAATTTTACCATGGCTAGGTGATTTCAGTACTTGTTTCTCTTCTAACATTTATGTTAAATTGATATTCAAGAAATAAAACAAGCGAAATTTTATTTCATGTTCCTTCTCTTCTACAATGTTTTTTTTTTTATTGATTACAATAATAACCGTTCAACAAAAGACAACAACTGATATTGACCATTTTATAAGTAACATCCTGTCAACAACTAATAAAGAAAGTGAATTTCCTTAATCACCATTTATATTATACAAATAATTAACCACAATAGTTTATTTTATTCTTATAATAGTGAATTACCTTTTGTCACCTGCAATATTAGATAAATAGTTTTTTCAACTCAGTTAAAATAATAAAATCTTTGATTTTTATTTTCAAAAACTTGAAAAAAAAAAACATGCGGTTAACGAGTCATAGATACTGGAAGTGACCTTTTAATGCACGTAAATGAAAAACAAGGAAACAATAAATTAAATTAACATATAACTACTGACTAATCATTCCCTCAAAATTAGTTAAATTTTAAAGCTATTTATCCTTATCAGTAAATCAGGAAAGCTGACATCAGTTCTGTTTTTAAATCATTTTTTCTTTTGGAGTCATTCATATATATTTGTTTTTTACAATATACTGACAATATTAAACAATTAAAGGATAGGTATTTACAAAAAAATTCTGACTGAACAATACATCGTACTAACGAAAACAAGTTAATTCTGGGGCCAGTAGGTAGAAGATGAATAATTCCCTTTGGTCATAACCACCTTAGCTTGTTGATTTCCTTGAGATCTACCACTCATAGTATTAGATCCATCCTTAAAAAAATTAAATTGAATCAATTTATAATTATAACCAACATATAGTAAAAAGAATACTAGAAAAATTTAGTGGCTAACATAATATTAAGAGTAAACAAAAGAAAAGTCGTAACACAAACATTTTACATCTTTATAGATGCAGCCATATAACTTCTAAAATTACGAGGATGATAAATAATCAGAATATGGCATCATGAATGTTGTTTAGCATGTTAGCCAATACTTCAACCCAAGCACATGGGTCTTCATCAGTTTAATTATTATTCGCAAGACTAAGAACTTAGATTTAATAAACAACTTCATATCCTGATTATTTACATCTTTCTAAGAAACTGTTTTTACAATAATATTAATGATAACACTGTAATAAATTATAATATTAATAAGAAGTTATGGACTTTATCTTCAAAAGTTTGTAGTAGGTAGCAAACCCTACAATGTGAATATCATAAATTAAATCAGCAATCATAAATGTAAGTTTCCAATGTTTATAAATACCATTACTTAGTCAAATAAAAATTTATGAGTATATAAAGTATTCATGGCTGCAGATGTACATATTATATATGAGTGAGAATTAATGAAAATTAAATGAGAATCAGAATGAAGGCTTTAAATTAAAAGGGCCTCAAACACAACTTTAAAAATGTTGGGACAACATGCATTTGACCAAAACTTTCCATTTGACTTCTATTGAATTTTAGATTTTAGATCCTGAAATAGGTAAATATAACAAATGGTAGTTTGCACATAAAAAACAAAACAAAATCAGTTCGATAAATAAATATGAGACTATTGAATTATTTAATTTTTTAGAGTAAATAAATAAAAGGTAGAGGGAATTCGGAACATCTTTTGATACAAATTTTTAAAAAATAAATACAGCCACATGTTAAGAAGATCAATTAGCTTTTATAAATTTAGAAATTTTTGAAGACTATCAAATACTAATAAATATCAATTTATTTAAAGGTAATTGGAGCATAAACATCAATATTTTCGCAACTTCATAAAATTCAAAAAAACAAAGCATAACAAAAGAGCCTCTGAAAACAACTAACACCAGATAATAATGACAATCAAATCCATATGATATATATATAAAAAATTAAATTAAAACCTAGCTGGACAAACTAGAGCCCCAGAAAAAATACAAAGACCGGATAACTTAAGAGGTCTCCTTTTCACACAAATAATTTTTAAATCATTAATAGGTTTTCATTAGAAGATACCTTCTGCAATAAGACAAGGTATTTTACCATTATATAATAAAAAGGGAAATCGAAATTACTATAAATTACCAGGAACATTGATAAGGCAATAAATCTAATATTGGTACCAAATTCATAAATAATCATTATAATTTACAAGCCAGAAATTTCACGATTCACGGATGTCGTTAAACCATATCTTTCTCATAAAATTCAACATTTTCATGGGATAGAATTGATTATTAAATTCCCCTTTTAGAATTTAAATTTAATATAATTAAGAAAAATATACATTCGTATATTTTTCATTAATTTTGATTTATCTCCTTATTTTATCAATACAAAACTCACCATTGTGGATTAAAAATAAATGAAGATAATGTTCTACAATGATTTTAGCTTACTTGATGAATAGGCTGATGCATCAAAGTAGTGGTGTTATGATGAGGGGTCATAGCTGGTATAAAAAGATGTTGAGGATAGCCTCCACTGGGACCCATGCCTGAATTTTGAGATCCTATGTTAAAGGGGGGTGGCGTTGCACAATGGAATCCTTGCTTTTCATATGACTAAAATAATAAATAAAAAAAAAATAAAAAAAAATTAAAACCATACAAAAAAGACAGAGAGGTATAAGACCTAAGCAAAGATAGTAAATCGATCAGACATGAAAAAAAAAAAATGACCAAATAATATAGACTACTAGCATGTAAAAACCACTAAATTAATTATAAACATCAACCAAAGATCTGCCACATTTGATAAACAATAATTGTGGAATTTCTAAAAGCAGTAGGAAACTTTCAATAGGAAAATTGAAAAAAGATTAAAAGCAATAGGAAAACTTTAGGAAACTTTGTTTCAATGGATATTAATTAACAAATAAAAGCAATAAAATAAATTAATTTTTGATTATTACTTGGGCAGGGAGGAAAATAAATTATGACTTAATATATCTCGATAAACAAATAAAATGGTTCTTATTGGTAGTTTTAGATAATTTTTTTTCATTTACATCAATAGATTTTTCGGGATTTCAATACATTTGACAGAGAGAAAACAGTTCTGTTTGTCATTATTGTGAACTCCCCTCCCTCTGCAGTGCTCCCAGTTTCACCAAATGATTTAAATTCTTATTTTATATCTGCTTCCTCTTTAACTCCTCCACTTCCCTCTTCCTTCTTTTCTCCTGGAACATCTTTCAATGAAGACGATTTTTAATTTTCAGATATTTCTCCCACAGACCTCATATCCGCCGTGATGAAATCACACTCTAATTCTACTGGTCTAGATGGCATTCCCGTCAAATTAATCAAATTATGCCGGTACTCCTTTTCGTATATAATTTCTCCCTTCAAAATTCAGTATTCCCTTCCTTGTGGAAAAAAGCCACGGTCCGTCCTTTAAATAAAAATTCTAACCCGTCTTCTCCTGAAGATTTCTGGCAAATCTCAATCATTTCGAAACCCCTGGAGAGAATTGTGCAATCCCAAGTTTCCAACTTCCTTGAACAGTCCAATCAACTTGACCTTTACCAATCTGGTTTCCGACCAGGTTACTCCACACAATCAGCCCTAATCAAAATCATTAATGACGTTCAGTCCGCCATAGACGACAAAAAACTAACCGTCCTCATATTCCTTGACTTTTCCAAAACCTTTTATAACATTAACCATTCCATTCTCTTTTCCAAATTAAAATCATTATCCTTTTCCAATAGTTCTATCCTGTGGTTTCAATCTTTCCTCTCTCAACACTCACAAGCTGTCGCTATCCCTAATCAACCCTTGTCTTTCTATGTTACTCTGTCCTCAGGAGTGGCACAGGGCTCTAGCATATCTTCTCTCCTTTATATTTCTTATATCAACAACATTCCTAAATCAATCCTTCACTGCTCTCATCACCTCTATGCCGATGTTTCCCAAATTTACCTTTCCTTCCATCCCTCAGAGTTGCATGAAGCGTTTGCCAAAATTCAAGAAGACTTGAATTGGATCAGTGCCTGGGCAAACTTAAAAGGATTAAGATTAAATACTGCAAAAACTAAAGCCATTGTCACTGGTTCCAAACCCCTTCTCATCAGAGCCAATGCCAACATTCCTATCCTGTACCTAAATGACCATCCCATCACCTTCACCTCCTCAGTAAAAAACCTAGGCATTTTCATAGACCAAACCCTCTCCTGGGAACACCATATTGCTCACATCTCCTGACGGTCAATTGGTACCTTGAAACTATTCCCTCGCTTCCACTATCTCCTACCCATTCCCACATGTAGCCTCCTAATATCTTCCCTCACCTTGATTACGGCTATGTGGTGTATGGTGGCCTCTCGGCAGAACTCAGGGAGAGACTGAGAGGAATTATGAATTCCTTTGTAAGATTTGTCACAGGGATCCTGAGGCGTTCCCGTGTTTCGCACCACTATACTGAATTAGGATGGCTCTTCCCTTCCTTCCAAAGACAATATTTCCTAGGCACATTCCTTTACCAATAATCAATAATCATCCTTCATCCTACGCATACAATTTCCTACAATTCAAATCATCTATCCACACCCTCTCCACAAGATCTCGTCCTTCTGACCTTTACACCCCTTTCCACAGAACTGCATCATTTAAACATTCATTCGTTGTCAGTTCCACTGCATTCTGGAATTCCATCCCACTAAAAATCCGCCATGCATCATCCTTATCCACCTTTAAAACCCTTTTATTCCAATTCCTGTTCACAATCCAATCAGACGCTGATTAAATACATATTATGTAATAAGGCTTTAATTTTCTTTAGACATTATTTTTTTCTCTTATTTTTTTTGTTTTATTCTGTGTTGAATATGAATTTTCATCACCACTCACAAATCGTTGTGAGTAGATAAAATTGGTTTTTCTTAATTTCTAATTTTTCTATTCATGAGATTGTATTTTATTTTTTAATTATCCTCGACACATTCCTCGTCATGTATATATATATACACACACACTTTATTTTATTTTTTTCTTCTTCTAATCTTTACGTGTAATCACTTAAACATCTTAGGGAACTATGTATGTTATTTTTTTTTTAACAATTTATTTCTTTATATATCAACAGTTATTTTTTTTTTAATTTTTATATTCCATCACTACAATGCTTTGCCTATAAAATTGATTTTGCGTTCCTTTTTAATTTCATATAGTGATAATTATGCTATTGTTTTAGCTCCAATATTGTAGTATTGAACCCCTATTACCCAACTGTTCTCATTATTAGATCTTAGGAGCTATTATATTTAATTTATTACTAGTATTTTGCTACTGTTCTAAAGTGACCTAGTCCCAGAATAAAGATGATTTTTCTATTTCTATTTCTAATTATTTTTAAAAAGCATTAATCTTTTTAAGCTGTCAGCTACATTGGACATGCAACAGACAGTTTTTTTTCTGATCTCCCGGAAATTTATTTATTTAACAAAATATAATATATAAATATAAATATATATACAACATTTTACAAACTTCCTTTCTTTGCCTAGGAGCATTTTAAGGTAAAGAGGACTGAGTATCCGGTAAGCATAAATTACATTCTGTGCCTTGGGCCCTTATAACAGCCAGAGTTGCATAATTTGTTTAAATAAATAATCACACACTGAACAGTATAATAGAGATGGGATGCTTTTCATTAAGGATAAAATTTTAAAAACATTGATCAAACCTTCCAAATCCTAGCTGGAAGAATAAGACACCGAAATAATAAGATACAAACCAACACAACATCCCAGAGCATGCAGAATGCAAGTCCACAGACTTCGAAGATATAGCAGAACCAATTCCACAAATAAATAATAAGGGTACAAGAGTTTACAGATTGCAAGATGAAATCTTCATGTATAGTGGTGAGGAGCCCCATTGATCTGAGTATGATTTGATGCTATCTGTATGGAGCAGGGAAAAAGTGCAATAATACATTCTTAGTCCAAAAAAAGGGGACAAGCTAGCGTGCACAAATAATTTTGGGATTTCTCTCTTATCTTGTGTCTATAAGATTCTTTCTAATGCCCTTTTTAACAGACTTAATGCATTTGCTGAATAGGAGATAGATAGGGAGTTATCAGACTGGCTTTCAGAGGAGTTGTTGACCAAGTTTCTACTCCGAAGATCCTGAAACAAGTGTAGAAGCTGCCAACTCATTACTTGTTTGTTGACTTCAGAAAATCATCGGATAGCATTAAAATAAACAAGCTTAAATAGACCTTGTCTGAGATGAATGTACCAAGCAAATCAGTTTGCCTTGTGAAGTTGACAATGAAGAATGTAAGCCTGGATACAGTTAGATTGTTCTACTAAGATTTTTTATCAAAAAAGAGATTAATTAAAAAACTGAAGATTAAATTAAGGTACTGAAATGGCATATCGTCTTTTTAATTTGGCTCTGAAAACGGCGGTGAGAAACTAAGGAGGACATCCCATCTTTTAGGGCCTTATAAGGTGATGAGATGGAATTCACCTATATTAGATCTATCGTCACAGCCTCAAATGATATCTTGGAGGAAATGAAAAATATGATAGACTACAACAAACTGGTGGTACATGAAGACAACCAGCAAAAAAAGCCCTTATATAAGACTTCAATACCCCCTGTTCTCACCTACACCTCAATGCCTGGACCATCTCAAACAGCAACGAAAATGATCTAATGGTTTTTAAAAGAAAAATATTATGGCACAAAATCGGTTCAGTAAAAGTTGCTGAAGGCTAGAGAATCTAAAAGAATACAGAATTCTATGACCTTAATGGAGGGCTACATGTTGTCATATTGCCAGGATAAATGAGGAAGCGACTGTGAGAATTACTTCATCAAACAAGAAGCTACTTAAGGATCAGGAAATGGAAGGCGGCTGTACTTGACAAAGCCAAATGGAGATGCTTCATTGGATGAGAACAGACCCGCCTCACCCAGGGTAGTAGTGCCAAGAAGACAGATGAAATAGGTTAATGTGCAATAGAACTTATTTTTAGTAATGAAAAGAATTCTTATTTAAGTAATGGCTAAATACATAAAACTATGGAATCAATAATCTCAATATTATAAAAATTTAGTAAGAATAAGAGAAAAGGAGCAAAAATTTTAGTTAATATTATTACCTTGGAAAGAGCTGAATGTGACTTTGTTGAATATATATTTGCCGCTATATCAGATGTAGTTGAAGGATTAGCTGTTTGTGTAGGCTGAACTTTTGGACCAGATGAAGTAGACGTTTTAAAATCTGAACTGCCAGTACTGGCACCTTGATTGTTTTCATACATCCCATAATTTCCCGAAAAGTTATTAGGACCTTTTCCATAAACACCACTGCTAGTATTGCCATGAGTACTAGTTGTACCTCCAGCAGCCACCTGTGAAAAATATCAATAAATAAAATAATGATTAACCAGTAACAAAGATAGAAATTTAAAAAAACTTTTTATTCATTAGGCCAAGCTAAAATATCTGTGAGTAACAGGAAGAATCTAGCCTATTTTCACACAATCTTATTTATTAAATAAATATTAATTTATTTCTTACATTAGGTATTTTCCAAAATAAAACAAAAAAAGTATGCAAAACTTGAAATTAAGTTTTGGACAGTAAGAGGTTTATTAAATAAATCTCTTACAAAATATTGTTATAATATTAAAAGGTTGGTATTTGCTAACTCGAAATGATGCATACATAAAATGTTCAATTTTATCGAACATAAAATTATAATTATGAATATGTTAAGATTATTTGAATTGATCTTATCAGAACAGATTGGAATATATGTGCATATATATGTATATATATATGTGTATATATATATATATATATATACATATATATATACACACATTCGCTAATTTAAAAAATAAATAATAATAAATAAAATAAAATAATTTGCTAATAAAGTATGGGGTATTTTTAAAACAAAATAAAAGTATCTATCATAAATTGTCTTTTATTGTTTTTCAATCACTTTCGATAATTTATTTTTATTAAGACATAAAAATATTATAAATTTTATGACATTAATTAATATATTTGTAACTTGCTCTGGTAAATGTTACATTTTTAAATGCTTTAACAAAATAGAAATGTCTTCTTGTAAAAATTATTAATAAATTGATGCCTCTGTCGCTCTCAATCACACAGGACATTTGAAACATAAAATGCGAAAAAGTATAATAAAAAATACTATAAAAAAAAAATAAACGGCTTTCCAACAGTCCAAATAAATGGTGGTTCCCTCTTCTATATTGTTTTTAATTTGTAATAAGGTTGTTGCCTATTATTTATTTATTTATTTTGACGATATAACACTCATTTGTTTCCCGGCAAACTCCACCAAACATCCATTGCTCAGGTAAAACTCTCCCCACATGATTTTTTCTTTTAGAAAAAAGACTCTCGTCTACTTCAAACACTTTGCCAGGCCCTCCAATTTTTTTTCTTGACCTGTATAACATGTCATGGACACAAATCTTTCTTAGACATTTGTTCCACGTTACCATAGTTCCCTTGGATAGTTTCAGCTGCTCTTTGCCCCACTTCATCGTTGTTAAATTATGGAACCACCCATAAATAAATTTTAAAAATGAAATCCTCAAGCCCTCTAACCACATTCCTTTCCTTATTGAAACTTTTGTTACAAGTGCTACAACAGCATCTTCATTTCGCTTCCCTGTCCAACTTCATTTATTGCCATCTGCAAACCTTAAGTAAACAGTGCACCGAAAGGACCAGACAAATTTCCCATTCTGGTAGGGGGGTGGAGGATACTCCCCAGTGAGATGAACTCATATTTGCTACCAGAAATGTAATAAAATCTTCACATAAAAATTAAAGAATGTCGTTAATTAATCATAAAATCTTAGAATATGTTGCTGCACATAATTATCATTGAATATTAACTAAAATTTCTATAATAGGGACATAGAGTATGGTAAAATACATATGTATATCTAAGCATGACCTTAGTCACCTAGTCAACTTTTCCAATTTCCTTAATTGACATTCGATTACATAATTAGCACTCTCTTAAGATCTTAACATATACATAATTATAATTTAATGTTTAACAAAATTAAACGTTCATGTATACATCATTTTGAGTTAGCAAATAGCAATTTTTAAACATTATTTATTTCAACATTTTTTTAAGAGATTTATTTAATAAACACTTTACTGTCCAGAACTTTATTTAAGTTTTGCATACTTTTTTTTTTGTTTTATTATGGAAAATATCTATAGCAACAAATAAATTAATATTTATTTAATAAATAAGACTATTCATTCAGAAGGTTGTGTGAATATATTTCCATTTACTTCTGTAAATTTAAGCGTATTCATTTTAATAAATGTGAATACGTATCATCTGTATTAATGTTTCTTTTTATGAATATAAATATATTCATATTTATATTAAAAAGTGCCATCAATATAAATATGCCCATTCCTGTCAACTCCTTGTGTTCCCCCCCGGGGAGTTTGATGGGGTGATCAACAGAGGTGGGGATAAACACTTCTGCCTTCTAATCTGGAAAGCAGTTGTATGGACCATTCTACAACACCCAAACTAGGTGGAGGGAGCTCAAGCCGTGGCTGAGTGCCAGGGGGTGTCTTAAATAAACATTCACTGCCAATTTGACCCACTTGGGACATCTGGGGCAACCCATTGTAATTAATTGCCTTCTGCAGGAAGAGGGAGTAGGTACCTGTAGTGACCTTTTTCCACCCCCATACTCGTGGGAAAACTAATGACCACACCAAATAAACAAACAGACAGACAATACTAACAATGACATGGAACTACTTATGGAAATTGAACCGTTGGAGAAGGAATTGGTTGGGAAGTACTTGGAGGGACCATTTGAGGATAACTCAAGAAGCTCGACTGAGACCATCTCAGCTCAAGTTTCTAAACTCTCTGTTATAACAGAGGAAGTTGAGATTCTAGCTGGTAAAACTTGTGTCCCACCAATACCCATGTTCTTAGATGCACAGAGAAGAAAATGCAAGAGGATGAAGAGGCTCGAGGCTAAGTCTGAGACTGAGCTACCAGCTACAAAGGAACCGGTCAGTGAGGAGCCAGGGGGCCAGCCACAAATTGTACCAGGTCCTCACCAGGGGACTCAAAAGAGGGCCAGAAGCGGGACGCTGGTGCAATTTCCTATGCTCTAGCAACCAGAGACAGTAGGGTGGCAATTATCCCCTATGGATATCCATCCACTCAGCTTATCAAGGAGCAGAGTGAGGATCTCCAAGTTTAGTGGCTTTAGCCACCATCTGGGGGGGTTGTATTATCGTCTGTGGTGATCAACCCACCAAAGACTGGATTCATAGTGTAGTGGAGGGCTTCACTATCAGTGGGGGTATTAAATTCCATGCTGGTAGTGTTAAAGAACTCAAGAAAGCTGTCAGGGTAGGGCCATACTTCCCTGGCTTTTTTGGTAATTTTCAACTAGCAATAAACCTGGTGAGAAAATTCTGGAGGAACTACTTCTAAGGAAACTTTGGATCCAAAATGGAAGGTCAATGACATCGACAGTTGGCAAGAGTTGGGAACTAAGGCAGAAACGAATGGATTCTACAGAACCAATCACCTTGAGGGCAGAAATATGATGGTGACGTATTGCATGGCCAAAGTCGTACTCAAGTCTAATGTGCAGATCGCAAAGGTGGGTACTGCTTCTTTAAAAGTTCCCCAGGCAGAGGAGGTAGGGGAAACTTCAGCTTCCACTAGTGGAATTATAGTAGCGTCTGAGCCAGCTGAGGAGGGCTATCTAGGGTGGGTGCTGGGGGAGTCTCCGGACCTGAGATACATGAAATCAAGACAGACATACCCCTTTGGACCACGGCAGAGGGTGTTCCTCCTGCAGATGGCTCCTCATACTGATGGTTAAGCTGTTGCAGGTGAATCTTCATCACTGTGTGGCAGCTTGTGGCGTGCTTCAGCAGTATGTTAGAGGTGAGGATATTGTATCGTATTGATTCAAGAACCTTACCTATTCGAGAGCAGAATTAGGAGACTGGACATGGCTAGGTGTAGTATTATTGCAGTGCCTGAATGTCCGAGAACCTGTATTCTGTTCAAGAATAGAATTAAGCTGATGCCTGTGCATCATTGTTTCAGGAACCTGACATCAGCTTAATTAGCTCTTTATGATGGGGAGAGGATCATAGTGACAGCTCTATATCTCTCCTATGAAGAGGACATCCCAACAGCGGCTCTAAGAAGCTTGGCGGAAAGGATGGAGAGAGAAGCAGTGATAGCAGCACTAGATGCCAATGCCCAACACAAGATTTGGAGAAGCTCCGATAACAACCGGAGAAGTGCGTCTCTTTTAGAGTATTTAAGTAGCTTCGACATTGAGATTCTAAATAGGAGCAATGTTCAACCTTTCAACCTTTGTTGATAGAATCTGCTCGGAAGTAATAGACATAACATTAGGCAAGCATTGCTTGAGTTCTAGGATAAGTAATGACATGTCTCTGATGAAGAATCATGCTCTGATCACCCTTATATCAGATTTGATTTATCTGAATATAATGTGACTGAAACTACATACAGAAACCCAAAACGCACAAACTGGGATAGATACTGTATGCAGCTCGAAGAAGAAGTCAAATGCTGTCCTAAGACTATTGGGAATTCTTGGCATTTGGAATGCCTCAACTCCTCATTGTCTGACGCAATTATGAGGTCTTACACTGATAAAAACTGTGTCAGTAACGTTGGGTCCAACAGGAATGTTTCTTGGTGGGACCATGAACTTGGCAAGCTAAGAGCCTCAACTAGAAAACTCTTTAATACTGCCAAAAGCACAGGCAGATAGGATACCTATAAGTGTGCCCTCACTGAATACAATAAGGCCATACATAGGGCAAAAAGGGGGGCATGGAGAAACTTTATTAGTGACATAAATGACATGTCATCCACATCCAGAGACCATAAAATCTTATCAAAGCAAACAGATGGATTGGTTATTGGCACAGTCAGGGTTGGTGGAGGTAATACCTAATCTGGGGAAGACAACCTGGAGGTTCTGGTGCGTCCATTTTCCTGGCTGCCTGGTGTAAGATGAGCATATAGTTAATCCCGCTATGGATAGTTACACCTTTGGCAAAGACAAATAGGTTGAAGCCAAAAGAATTGTTAATTTAAGAATTTAATCTGAAATTACTTCTTTTGCATCATTCAAATCAGCTGGTACTGATGAGATTTTCCCGGCCCATTTACAAAAAGGCCTACCTGTGATTAAACTCTATCTTTTTGAGTTATTTAGGAGAAGTTTAACACTTGCATATATCCCTAATAGGTGGAGGGAGGCAAGAGTTTGTTATATACCTAAGAATGGGAAAAAGTCATATGACAATCTCAAAACATACAGACCTGTATGTCTGACTTCTATCCTGTTGAAAGCATTGGAAAGTAGAGGGATTGGACTCTTGGCTTCAGAATAGATTAATTCGGTTCTGAGGGGGAGAGTCCTTAAATCTGAGCTGGGACAATCCGTACTGTAGGGTGTGTTGTCTCCAATTTTGTGGTGTTTGGTCGTTGACTTCTTGATTGTTAAATTGAATGTGGCCACATTTTATTCTCAGGGATACGCTGACAATAGGGGCTAAATTTACAGATACTATCTTTGGATTGCTCGAAAACACTATGAGACTTCTGAAAGAATGGTGCCAGGATAATGGCCTTGGCATAAATCCGCAGAAGATAAATTTATGTATCTTCACTAACAGAAAGAATATCAATATTAGACCACCATCACTAAATGGGTAAACATTAAGTATCTGTAGTGAAGTAAAACATCTTGGGATTATTCTAGATAGTAAGTTAAACTGGCTAAGTCATATTGAAAAGATTAGTGGTAAGGCTATATTCTGTTTATGGGTGAAACTCAGTATGGCCCTATGGCTATATAGAACCTCGATTAGACCTTTAATCCTCTATGCGACTGTTTATGGTGGCATAGGGCATCTGCAAGCAAGCCTAGAATGCTGCTTGGCAAAATTCAAAGGTTTGTGTGCCGTATGACGACTGGAGCTATGAGCGCTACTCCCACTGCTGCAATGGAGGTTCTCTTGAATCTGATACCATTGCATTTAGAGTCGGAAGCATATGCTCTCAGAACTACTGGTAGATTGGATAAACTGGAAATGAGATCGAAATGCCTGACGTTTCACGGTCACGTTTTTGATAGGATTGGTAGCAATGAGGTGCTTGCTATGAACTTTGACCTTCAAGTTGATAATTAGAGAGATATACTGTATAATTTGATGATAGGCAGGAATAATTCACATAGGCCTTACAATGGAGTTAACTATTATACCGATGGATCCTTGATGGAGCAAAGATGAGAGGCTGGCATCTGGAGAAAGGATAAACCTAATGAGGGAATATTCATATCTCTAGGTAGATATACTCCGTCTCATTTGAGTTAAGACGGCTTGAGTCGAAGAATTGAAGTGTTTTTGCTTTTGGATTAAAATATCTCAGAAACTAAGAATCGGACCTGCATAATGTAAGTAAGCGAGGTAAATGTTCAGTATTTCATACACTTTGTAATGAGGTAAATGTTCAGTATTTCATACACTTTGTAATGAGATATTATTCAAAATTGCATCTTAACGTGATGTCGTAATAGAGGCAGAAAGGTAAAAAGAAAGTGTCGAAAACCAAATAATATCTAGTTTTGTTGAACATATAGATTAAAATATCCGAGAAACTAATAATCGGACCTGCATAATGCAAGCGAGAGAAATTTTCAGCATTTCATCATGTTTGTAAATCAAAATTGTATTTTGATGTGACACCGAATTAGAGAGTGGGAAAGGGGAAAAGATAGTGCCAAAAAAACATATAACTACTGTATTGAATATTTCGACTAAATATCTCAAAATTTAAATATCATAGAGAATTCAGAAACCAATTAGTAGAAGACTATATAGATTTTTTTTTTTTAATTAGCCATAAAAATAAGAAACTTATCTTATTTTAATTGAATATTTAATAGTTGACCGTTGCATTATAAAGGAAGAAGATGGTCCGGGGTTGCGGTCATAAATAGGCTAAATAGTGGTAAAACTATTTTATTGAAAGCCGACGTTTCGACCAGACTATGTAGGTCTTCATCAGGGACGTGTGTTCATCTAGGAGTTTCACTTAGAACCCCTAGTAGTTCTAAGTGAAACTCCTAGTATTAGTTGTAGTAGCTTGGTTCTTAAGTCGTCTCACACATCTTTAAACAGTTCTGATGGCTGGTTGTCTATCCCTGGGGCCTTTCTTGTTTTGAGCTTTTCGATAGCTATTTCTACATCCAGTATATCTGGTTTTTCGACCTCTTCTGGTTTAAAGCATGGACCACATCTTAGCTTTTTGTTTCTCCTGAATACCAATCAGTTCTGTAGCTGTTTCTTTCAGTCCTTTCTGTATTTCCTCCTAGTGTTGGACCACCATGAGGCTCGCCGAATCCAAGGGTTCGAATTTATCCTATATTTTAGTTATCATAAATCTATTGTATCATTTTTTGAGTATAATACAAACGATGATCAGTCCAAGTTTACTAAAGTAATTTATACACAATTATAATTGTATATATTGTAAATGTTATTAGTTTGTGATTATAGAACAAAAAAAAGTTAATTTCATAATACTTATATCGCCTTGTTGATCTTTTCGTTTCTATTGTATGGTCTTAAGTACACACCTTAGTCTTTTAACAATTCCTATTACATTTTGAACTCATCTCGTATAATTAAAAAGAAATGGTGAAAAATGATTGATTATAAAGGAAAATTAATTTACTGTAATATGTAATGTTTCAAATACTACGATACATTTCACCTTTTATAAGTATACTTGGTATATATCACAATTATGTAAACTTTTTATGATTCATAACAACAAAATCGCTTCCACGTCCCATGTTTTGTAAAATTCCCTGATTCGGGATCCAGTAAAAACCCTGTTTATTAAACCTAGACATTTTTTTTTTCCTTTCGTCGGCCTAAGACTCCCACTGAAGTCCTATACCGCTAAACCTAGACATCCCTGGCCTTCTAATAATAAACTATAAGTATTTATGAGTAATAATACATTTATTATTTTTTTACCATGCAAGGGAAGATTGTAATACTAAAAATTAAAAATTCTTATGTATAATCAACTATTAACTAGTTGAAGTGAAGCAAAACTTTCAAAGTTGATTCGCATAATATTATATTCCTTAAAAAATATTAATATGAGTGTTTTGGTTTGTTAATTAATCTCATTAATTTCTTCTAATCCTACTATACCTCTTAGAAATAAAGATTTTGGAAGAAGAGGCTCGTGCTACTTCTATAGTAGTTAATTTGTAACCAAGATTAAGATAGCACTGGAAACAAAACAAACTCTACTCTTTTTTGTTTCCTAGGCAGATGACGAATTGATATTTTTTTTTTAGCATGTGCATGTGCTCTTACATCTTACTGTATCTTGACTATCTTTGGATGTGGCATGCCATAATATTGTATATAAAATAAGTATCTTTTTTTTGTTATTTGTATTATCTTTATTATCTTAAATATCTTTCTTTTTTTTTTAACTTTAATTGTATATAGTAATTATGTTTGAGTTCCCTCTTTTTCCTTGTATTTTATTTCTTTTTATTATACATAGTATTAATCCTGTAAATATTTCTTTCTGTAAATAGATCTGTTAACCTTTTTGCTGCTTTATAAAAATTATCCAACCTAACCCCTTCTCACCTGAGCTAGCATGGTAGAGTAAATATTTAATGATGGCCATTAAAGGGTAAGTACTTTATGTTTTCTAATTTATCTCTTTAGAGATGAAAGGCTAGTAAAGCCAGGCGCCCAACAAATAAAAATTCCTATGGAAAATTATAATTATTAAAAATTATTTTATTAACTTTTATTTATCCTTTTTTTTGTCATAAATTTATCTACTAGCTGTTAACAAAAGATAAAAACAACAATCTTAAACAAATATAAATAAATGAAAGTAAAGCGAGATACTCCAAGTTCATGAGTAATAGCTAGTTGAAACATGTACACAAAAACTATTTATTTTCTAAAATCTCAATCGCTAACATTAATATTTATTTTATTTTATCTAATAGAATTAAAAAAAAGAAAAAATTAATTTGTAAAAAACACTTAAATATGAAATTGCCGAATTATAAAACAAGTTTGAATAATGCTCTCATCTATTGAATGGTTTACTAATATACCACGGAGGTGTAAAATAATTTGATCCATAAACAATGAGAATAAGGAAGGAGAAAGAATTATTTTTTTAATATGTCAAAGCTATTATTTATTTTTAGAGATATGATTCATTAAAAGTTGAATAAAAAGAAATTGTTATTGTGTCAAAATAAAAATTAAAACTACAAGAAAACAATACTCCTAAGATGTTCAGAAATCACATAATCAATGAATTTAAATAATTGGCCACCAATTCACTGCAGTTCAGATACATCTGTTATATGCTTTTTTCATTCTAGATTAGAATTTAAAAAACAAAAATGATATTTTTTTGTTACCGGATAAAGTGTTGGAGCACCATACTGGAAATTTCCTGGAATCATGGTTGCTGATCCACCATAAAAGTAAGCATAGGCAGGAGGCATAGGCTGGTTCATCATGGGTTGTTGGTGAGCCTGGGATCCACTCTGTTACAATTTATACAATGATAGATAAGTAATGGTACAAACTAAAAAATACTAAAGAAAAATATGTTACAGCATTTATTTGTGAAAAAAGAGGAAAGATAATCAAACTTCTAAAATATTACAAAATATCACTGAATACTAAATACTTTACTAAATTTAATCGCTACTTCAGTTGATCATTAATCATCAATTGAAGAAGTTATTAATTAAATTATTATCACCATTGAATTTCTATCTACTTAAAAAAGTGCTTTCAGTAAAATATTTGGTACTCCGAATAATTTTTGCCCACTTCTGGTGTAGGCACACGATTCTTTATTCAGTTCATAAATGTTAAAACTGATTGTAATTAACAGTAATGGGATATGATACGTTACAGCAAGAACAGAAAACAAATTATAATTGGAAAAGTCTTTTGATTATACCTTTATCTTTTAACAAATTTAAGTTTACCGCACAACCAATATATCTTCCAAGAAGATAAACCCTGCCCATCTATTATTCACAAATAAAATACTAACAGTCAACAGCTAATTAGTAGTTTTATTATCAATAAGTGACTTCATTTGATTAGTGAACCCAGAAAAATATATATATATATTTTTTTTTAAAATATATATAATAAAAAAAATACATCTAGTAAATTTTTACAATGGATATAATGATGTGAAAACACTTGTTGAGAAACTACACAATAGTAGCACACTAATAATATGTCTACATTGGGAGATCACGGGGCCATCTTCTTTTCAGACGCCTCGGAGGGTTATCAGGAAATGAAGAGGAAGCAAGGTTAGAGTTGGGTTGTTATAGTAAACAAGAGGGTTGGGATGGTTATGAAATTTACTATGGAAGGATAGGTATCTATCTGGATTGGATACAAGAAGAATTTGATGGCTTGGTGGAGTCCTATACCACAACTCCATAAGTCTAAATAGGCCTTATTATAGTCTTGTATAAGAGTCTTATGACATTAATTGGGAGGTTAGAGCGTTTGTCTAGTAAGTATTGAAGTAGTCGGAAATGTCAAGCTGTTTCTTGTCATTTCAGTCTTGTATGAGGATTCCAAGTGAGACGTTTGTCCAGGTGGAGTCCTAGGTAACTGCATTTTTCAACAGAGGTAAGTGAGGTATTGTTAAAGGATACAGTAGGACAGGAAGTCATTGGTTTACAAAAAAACATGAATATCTATATTAATATCCATAAGTATCTAATAATACAAATATTTTTTTGGAAAATATTAAGAACAAAACATACCTGTTGACTTATACTTGAAGCTTGGACAGGTGAAGTGTTATCAGTTCTGGCAAATCGACCATCATTCATGTTATACTGAACTCCTTCTCTTGTAGTAGAAGTTGGATAGCCCATTTCATAATATCCAGTGCTCTAAGCAACAATATATTAAAATAAATATGTATATATATATATATATATATATATATATACACAGAGTGTCGCATAAGTATAGGGAAATATTTAAAAAAATAATGGTATAAATGAAAATCTACAAAAAAGTTCATATAAATAATTCTCCAATTTCCAGCAGAAAAGTAAGAAATATGTTTTTTTAAGGAGTCATGCTTTTTGTTGAATAGGATGCAATAACATAAAAAATAATATATAGTATTTACAATATATACATATATTGTAAAGGAAGGAGATGGGGTGGTGGTCATAAATAGGCTTAATAGTGGTAAAACTATTTTATTAAAAGACGACGTTCCGACCCGACTTTGCAGGTCTTCTTCACGGCTAGAACCGGTCAAGATACAAATCATCATCCTTTTTTCACTTTTTATTCATTTTACTTATTAACCATGTCTATATTGAATATTATCTAATATTCAAATATAATTTTCTTACATATGTACAACCAAATATAATTATAATTATTAATTTTTCCCTCTCTATACTTCTAAGTTAGTTCTGCAATGTATGTATGTAAATGAAATTATTTCTATATTTATATTTTACTTCTGCCAATTTTGTGTTTATTCACATTATACTCTTATCTATAATCTCTTAGTTCTATTTTATATGTATACCTATATATTTATAATTTAATATTTCATAGACATGGTATTTTTCCATTTTATCTATCCGTATCTTCAAATTTTAGATACTGTAATTTTCTAGGTTTTTCCCCATTACCCAAACAAGTCAGCTTCTCCTATACCTGCCCTTACCCTCTGGTTTTCCAGCTCTAAGTGAAACTCCTAGCTGATCACACTTGTAAGTCTCTAATTTCATTCTTCCATTTTATTTACCTATTTATTTTATTTTTGGTTTTCTTTTTTCTTTTCTTTCTCCACATTCCTTTATGTCTATTATTTCATATTATACCTTTTTCATTTCCCTTTAATCTCTCCTGTAGATCTGTAGAAGTATATTCACATTTGCATTTATTATATATTATACTACAACAATTGTTAGCATATATTTTCTTCAGTTTAGGATCTTCTTACTTAGCTTACTCTGTTCATATTTTAATGTACTTACTGTTTATAATTTCAATAAGCTTATTCACATTGTTTATAAATTTTGTCTAAATATTATGTAACTGCCACAATTCTCTATCTTTTTGTTCTAGCCCTGAAGAAGACCTGCAAAGTCGGCTTTTAATAAAATAGATTATCACCTTAATATATTGTAACACGGGCAGGAAGGGATAATTCAATTACTAAACATTCTAATCAGATTACAAAATCCTCCTGTCAACCCTTATACACTCAGGCTGGCTTTGAACCAGCACTGATATTGATTTGCTCAACTATCGTTACCTCTTAAAAACATTTCATTTATGTTTTTACATGTGAAACAAAAAAAATATAACTGAACCAAACGAAAAAAAAGGTGTATATATATATATTGTGTAAATTATCAATATAACAAGTGAGAAAACAAATCTGAGGAAAATGACAAAGAAAAACTAAGGCCAGATTGACAAAGTGAACAAGACCAGATTGAGGCAGCTCAGGCAATACCTCTAGTAGTTAACTAGAGTATCTTGAATGAGATTCAGTCATCTCTCAACTATTTGTTTTTCCATTTATTATTTATCATTATGGTTCAATTAACATCTCTCTTTTTCTCTTCAATGGTCTGTGAAGGACCCTACCTATCTTCTTATAAGTTCATATATTGTCCTAAGGATAGAAGAGTATGCTGTGTGTATCGCAACCCAATATAATTGGCCAGCAATCCTTTATATTTCATATTTATGAAAATGAAGTGTTTCTCTCTCCCTTCTCAACTCCATGCTGTCCTCGACTACTCTCCTCTACCTCCAAACTTTAAACATCTTCAGGATTCACTCCCACTTCTTCTTTCCAGGCAAATCTAAGCCATTCTCTCTTGAACTGAGTGGTCAAAAGAATTGTAGAAGAGGGGTAGGGTATTAAATGGACACCAGGCAGGTGTATAATATGCTGTTCTACATTAAAAATTACTTGATATACAAGCATTTAAAGGGAATAAATGATACAAAAAGAGAATAAAAATATAGTCTGCCTGAATCAGAATTAGAAAATTATATGGAATCCTTTTTACTCATTTGTTTCAGACTCACAATGGAATGGGAGAAGTCATTTTAACTGGACCAAGCATATCATAAAATTTCTATTTAATAACATAAAAGGTCAGATGAGATTAAATATAATTCTAAAGGTTAATTAAATGGTTGACTTACAATATGTGGTGCAAGCCTTTGTTGCTGCATTAACTGAAGGTCTTCATAGTACATTGGTTGTTGAAAATATGGAATTCCACCTTGCCCCATTATGTACTGAGTTCCCACTAATGGAGGTACACCAGGAGGCATATTAGTCACTACCGTACTTTTTCCCACTAAAAAAAAGTAACATTTTTTATTGAAGTAATAATGCTAACACATTAAGATTTTGAATAATGTAAGAATTAATTATAATGACTTAAAATTTCGTAATGAAATTAAATATTTGATTTTACATAGTTGTTGCACACCTGAGAATAAAATTAATTAATTTTGAAGACAGTTATAGTATAACAGCCTCAGCATTGTATAACGGAGCATATACTATATATATTTATAACCACACAGCCACAAATGCACTTAAAAAAGTATTTTTCCATTTAATGTAACTTTTTTTTAAAAACATAAATACTTTAAAGGTAAAATATTATAATAAACCCAGAACTTTATAATAAAAAGGTTCTTAGACATTTAATTTTAAAAACTCATTTCTAAAAATGTTCCTTCAAACATTTACAATGCAAACAAACCTTTTATTGTCCAATTAACTGTTGAAAGGTTTTTTCTTAAGGGGCATCTATTACATAAATTATCATCTGCACATGGTTACTAATAAAGTAGTGCTAATGATGAATAGACAGATAACATTAATCATCAGCAAGACCAGGCAAAGTAGAGGAAGACTTCTGGCTAGTATGGTGCAATAGAAGAGAATCAATCAGTTGAGATGGTTTCTTAGTCACCATATAAAATAAAACTTGGAAGAATACAAATCAGGAATAGCAAGAATGATGAAAAAAGGGAAAAATGACCAAGTGGAGAAGATGATACACAAAAAAAAAAAAAAAAAAAAAAAGAAATGAGAAAGAAAGGAGCAATATAAAGTGGCAGGTAGATGACTGAATAGGGTGTATAAACATTCTCCTGATATGGAATAAGTGAGCATGTATGCACGCACACACACACACACACACACACACACACACATAGACAAAAGTTGCAGTCTTATAATTACTGAATAACGTATTATAACATTAAATAGTAATAAAAAATCTATCCACTTTTATAACAATAATAATAATAAGGCTTCGAGAACCAGAAGGTTAGATGCTGATAACACCAATTGATGTCAATATTCTTTCATCCACCGGGCGCCATCTAAACCCAAACCCACCAGATATATCTATCTAATCTACATGTATCATTTAAAAATATTAATTACCAAATTGAATAAGATAAATATACTTACTACTTGATATACTAGTAGGTTTTGATGTAGGAGTAGTTTGAGTGGCAGACAAAAGAGTAGGTGTAGGGTTTATTGATCCAGAATGAGAAATGGAGCTCAAATTCACACTTGGTTGAGAAGTTTCAAACTGTAAAACCAATATTTTAATTAATAAAAAAAAAAAAAAAAAAAAATTTAAGGTGTTTACTGTGCATTAATTAGCCTTGAAATAATATTTATAGGTACAACCTATTGTGCAGAGATGAGATGCTAAATAGTAATATGTTATTATTTTAACATCAGATTGGCAAACAATACTTGGCAATATTTTACTCTAATATTGGTTTATATAAGTTACAACCTCAGTTGATGATTTAACTTTAAAATAATGGTATCATGTATCAATTTATTATAACTTTTCAGATTTCTTTTAGTTTCGACCACTTTTTTCAGAGCAGCCAAGTATAATTTTTTATTTTTGGTATAAATGACATTGTTTCCACAAACATCTTCTAATGAGGGGCAGATAAAATGTTCAGCATCCACATTTTGGATTGCACAAAACATGAATTCAGTATCTTCTGCTACACCAATAACATAAAAATGCTTGTAGAGATAACTGTGATCAGCTAGCATTCTGAAGTTTGCCTCAAACTGGCTACATTGCTAGTTCATTGGAAGTTGTCCCCATCTTTTACAGTTACCCTTTCTTATTTGCGATTATGCTCTGCAAAGCAAAAGGAATATTGGGCTGATCCATTGTTTTTTTTGTTTGGTGAGTTGGTCAACTTCTTCATTTCTAACATCTTCCACTGAAATTAAATAGTTCTACCTCCATTTACTATTTGGCAAATAAGGTGCCAGCACCTCACTTTAATAGTGAGATTAGTGTAGTTTAAACCAATAACAGATAAAATGGCCAATTGAGAATCTACCAAGAATAATCTTATTTTTATGCCTATAGATAGATAGATAGAAGTGTTTGTTTGTTATAAAATACATAATATCATATATTTTTTTTTTACATATAATTAAACAATTTATCGACAATGAACTTATGTTTATCTGTCGGGGTGTTCGCCTAGTTTATTCGTGGATATATTTTATCTTTTAAGAATTCACAGTTTCAATATAACAAGGTCCCAATTGCAATATTATTTACTCAATTAAAAAAAAAATTAATTTAACTAACAATTCTTTCTAAATATAAAAATATAAATGCACCTACATAATGTACAAATCTACATGAACATAAACTTAGATACCTTTTATTCTAAATTATATTCTCACTAATTTACATCTACAATTAGAGGATGTTTTAATACAAATAAAGAATTCTGTAGATTGGGCCATTTAAACTTTTTATCGTTTCCATAAAATTTAGTTGATGCATACCTAAAAATGCTATGCTGAACTCTTTTAGTATTGGGCATACCGATATAAAATGAAAGCTATCTTCTGGTGTATTCATATTGCACAAAGAACAATTTCTCCTTTTATCCTGGTAATTTAGATTGAAAAGTTCCCCTCTCGCTTTAAAAATTAGAGACTTTAAAATTTAATAGAGACAGGGAGATTGATAGAAACCTTTTAAACGATGAGAGGCCTCCGCCAAAAGGCAGGTAGGGACATGGGTACAATAGTCAACAGGTTTGTAAACTCACTGCAAGTTAGAAGGGCTTTTTATGATCTACAAGAAACAGCAACAAGACTTGGACGGATGATTAACATAAGAAAGAATGAAATGCATGGTATCCAAATATAAGTGAAGTACAAAAATTCTGATTAGCCTGGGATTTGGAAACTAAAATTAGGCCTATTCACTAACATCCGCTATCCTCACCCTAAACTTACAATTCTCAACATTTACAACCACAACTTCAATATTTAAAGCCCTAACATATCATCTTATGTAAATATAAGGCATCAAAAGTAAATATCTTTTCCAAAATTCATTAAGAACCCGAATACTATTACATAATTAGAAAAGGTACACATAAGGGAAAATATACCTCTTTGGAGCTTGAGGATGATGATGAAACTAATCCTTGTTTATGATTATGTTGTACACTACTGTTGTAAGTCTGATAAGGCGTCGTGTAAGATTGTGAAGGCAAACCAGATGTACCATAGACACTTTGGCTACTGGAACCATATTGTTGCTGACTTCCAACAATACTCTAAAAGTTAAACAATTATTGAAACATGTTATTCAAAAGAATGAAAGATTAAAAAATCTGAAAAGTTAACTAATAAAATTTTAAGACATTTTATCTATTTACTGAAATATGGGTATTAGAAGTTTTAAAGAATAAACTAAATCATGAATTTTCAACCTGTGGTGGTGCGTGAACCCTCCATTGGGGAGTCCCAAAAAAATTTGACATTAAATTAATAATCCCCAGTTTTTCAATTATATTTAAATAACTCATTTAATAAAACCCCTACATAGTCAAAGACTTCAGGATAATTCGGAATTTTTAACCATTAGTAAAAGTTTATTCAAAATGATTAAAATTTTGATTGATTAAAAAAATACTAAAAATGTCAAAATAAACCTTTAGCTATTGCTTCAAAACTAAAATTTCAATCGAAGAAAAAAACAAATACATTTGAATAAATATTGCTATAAATTTTAATCATCAAATTACTATATCAAAGATCAAACCGAAAAAGAAGAAAAACAGAAATGATAAATATTTTAAAAATAAATCACATAAAGGAACATTCATAAAATTATAATATAATATTGAAAATATAATTTATTTCAAACAATAGGACTTCAATGGAAGTCTTGGGCCAACATAAGAAAAAAAAAAATGAAAATAAATAAATAAAAAGTAATAATATAAGTTAAACAAAAAGTACTCATTTGAGATTAAATTAAGTATGGAGCAAAGATTCAAAAGAAAGATAAGGTATGACCAGAAATTAAATTAATGCCACCATATAACAAAATCTGTAAGCGACAAGGAAAATGAAACAGAATTCAAATAGAAACAAGATAAAAGCCATAGCAATCTCAGAATTAATTAATCTTTTTTTTGTTTTTAATTCACACACAGCTTTCTATTTTTATTGACAGACTTGGATAATATACATAACAAGCTTACTTGATAAGAATTAGTTGAATTGGTTAGGATGGGAAGTGTCTGAGTTTGCTGCGATGGATAACTATTATATTGGTAATGTGGGTAAGAACTACTTATACCACCATACACTCCACCAGTTGATGAAGAATACGTACTCTGGCTTGAGCTAGTACTATATATTATACTACTAGTTGATGTCATCTGAAACATAGATTAATTGTAAATTTTAATAAAAGTAAATAACGAAATAAACAAAGTTGAAGAAATTGAAAAATAAAATCAATACAATATATTTAACAAATTAGAAAATAAACAAATGACATAGATCTGAAGGAGTTATGGTTTTATAGAATTGTAGTTTAAGAAGTCAACAAATGCATTCAGGTTTTTCATGTTAAGAGAACATATATTACAGAAAAAAGCTAACTAGAGAGACCACTAGTAAAAATTAGTGAACATAAGAGGAGAGGTGACCCTTTGAAAAGAAGAATCGCTCTTACTTCCAAAATAAGGAAATCATGCAATACAAGAGAGTGGTTGCATAGTTAAGAAAAGAACAGAGCAACCATTCTTTGTTTTCAAATAACTATTCACTAACTCTGTGAAAAAAAAAATCAATAAAAAAAGAGGATTTTATGGTGTAACTTAATTTGCTAAATATTTGGCTATTATCATGGAGTTTACCAATTTAGGTAATTGAAAAATATGTTTTAATGAGTTTATAAAAAAATTCTCAATTAGTGACATTTTTTTAGAAATGCCTACTGGAAATCTTTGCTACTTTTTTAATTTACACATCGTTAATGAGGACAATAGGAAAGAGACTTTATTAGAAGTTAAATTAGTGATTTAGGCCTCAGTAGTCTCAATCCAAAAATATATTTTATTGTTAAAACATCTAAATTTTTGCTAATTTAGGCATCTTTTGGTAATGTACATAGCGATGCCTCAGACTTGCACACCTACTCCCGAATAATTCTGGAATAAATTGATTGGCAGGTGTGCAAGGCTGGGCACCGCTATACATATGTCCATTACCAAAAGATGCCTAAATTGGCAAAAATTTGGATATTTTGACAATAAAATATGTTTTTTAATTGGGAATACTGAGGTCTAAATCACTAATTAATTCATTTATTTGTTTGTTGTTCCAAGTTAAAGAAAAATAACTAAGTTTGATAATTAAAATGAACACTGTATTAATATTAGTTAATTCCTTAGCATCCCCCAAATAACCAAAATTTAGGGACAAACTAGTAACCAAAATATAAAAGAAACTAGTCATAGATATTGTACAATATTTTAATAATGTACAACGTGGAAGAGAAAGACGACGCCTAAGAGGGCTGGACCAGGTAGAGAACAGCTTGAAAAGGATGGGTATTCAAAGATGGAGAATGCTTACTCGGGATAGAGAATTGAGAAGGATCTAAGAGATGCGCAGGTTCGTACATGACCGACCGTAGTGCCAAGAATAAAATAATAAATAATATTATAGCAACATCAAATGCGTAAATATGAAACTGGAATTCATCCATATATGATTCTAGTGGTTAATGTAGTTACCATTAAATCCATTGTTGGTGTCATTTTGTTCCTTTGATAGCTGCCAAAGATTTCTAACAAACAACCAACTAAACGAGTTTCATAAAACAGCATTATTTTAATAGTATTAAAACATGCCGAATTTTGTGCCTAGAAACTATGATCTGCAGAGAGGATTAGTTATCTGTAACCATTTAAAGAAGAAAGCAACTGCTGCAGAATCGAATTAAATGCTTGTTGAAGTTTATGGTCAGTGCCTTGATAAATGATTTTGTAAATCACAGTATTTTGAGTGGTGTGAAAAATTCATAGGTGGCTGGCTATATTGGCATATGAAATAAAGAACGTGGTTGACAACCGAAAAAATTTGAAGACAGCAAATTTTAAGGATTCCTGGATAAGGATGATGCTGAAACCCAGCATTTTTTTATTTATTGATTTTTATTCAACAGAACACGTGGTTGACTTAGAAAATAAAAAATTTAAGTTTCCTCGTTCTCTGTATGTAATCAGACCTTGGTTTATAGTAAGTTTTAATAGGTTTTAAGGTCTGCTATAAAATACTTTCAATCATATGAAATCAATGTCAATCTAAACTTTATTTCAATCTGTTGTCAATGATTTTTTAGAATCATCAAAACAATGAAACTTAAAATAATAATTTAAATGATTGAAAATGTTAAAAAAAACGAATTAAACTACAAAATGGTGTTATCTACTATGAACATCATTTTCGTGGTTTGAAGCAATTTTTGCTTAAAGTGGAAATACAATAAATATTTCCATAACCATTGATTTTATCAAAAAATCATTAGCATAATTCTTCTAGAGAATGTATGAAGTACTTTAATATTTTACTGGACAAATTTTGTGAAAAACCTCACAGTTTTCGAGATATTCTTAAAAAAACTAAAAATATCAGTTTTCTTTCCTTCTCTCCCTCCTTCCATCAAAACCCGACATGGGATTCTTTGGGACATTATACCAATTATTATGAGGAAAGTAATAAATAATTTCTGACAAATTACGTCTTAACTTCTTGAAGGTTGGAGTAAAGCCATTTGCTTCCCTGACTTTACTGGACTATTAGGGTTGGCCATCGATAGTCAATATTATCGAAATAAATATATTGTCTCTACTATACACTACATTCTATATGAAACAGGTAAGATCAGTATAATTTTTTTTTAACAATCAGATTCATATATAATCCTTAGCACTTTTCGAAAATTAAAGTTTTAATTTATATTTTTAAATTTAAATATCGAAGGGAAGGTATCGATAGTCGATAACATCGAAGTAGATACTATCAATGGTCAAATAACAAAAGGAAAATATTGATATTTCCATATTAACTATCGATGGCCATCCCTACACCAGGGTGTAATTAAAAGATATTACATAATTTATTCCAAAAATAACAATTATCAATAAAAACAAAATTGATTTACCTGACCAGAAGAGTACGATGAACTATAAACGGATGGAGATTGTTGAGCTGTCTTTGAATATGGCGATGTTTGGTAGGTAGGTTCTTGATATAAACTAGATGAAACGTCAGAAACTTTGGCAGTTAAATCACTTATTTGTGAAATGGATGTTGCACCATTATTCCTTACAGGACTAAAACTAGTTTCATTCAGTAGGAGGGAATCACTTGTCGCACCCTAATAGAAGAAATAAAGACATTAAAATAACCACAGTGGATTTAATTAATATATTTTAGTATAATCAATATTAGTAATAAAAAAATAAAAAAATGTCGATTGAGATTTTAACTAACCGATTGGTGAGGCAACAGTTTTTCAGAAGAAACTGGGGATGGAGAATGATGAGGTGTTGGAGGTGATACTTGAACAGATTCATTTGTTTCATTTAATTCCAGAGCACCAAATTGTACATCAAGAAGTCCAATATTGTTTTCTACAGAATCTGGAGGCATCTCTACTGCAGTTGCAGGAATCTGTAAGGAATTAATGAAAAAAGTGATATAGCTAACTAAAACATGTCTACCTATTCCAACTTTTTCAAGAATTATTTGGAAAATTCATTAAGTAGCAACATTTTTAACACAGTGTAATAAACTTTGGCGTAGGGATGTGGCGATCCTACCACCCAGTCATTGTACTGCAGTCAGCCACTGGCCCTCCAGGTTGGGGAACAGTACATTCGCACACATACAGAACACACTCTACACAAGGACAAATACAGTATACGCCCTAGGACCACCTTCCTTAGGAAGCCGGGGAGGATAGGGATGCAGGTCTGCATGCATTGAGATGGCAGCCCCTTCAGCAGATTAGGGTACGGAGATAGGGTCGATAGCCCCACTACCTGAAACATAAATTATCGTGAAACCCATACCAGCCTCGGATGTGATCAGTCTTAAAAAAAAAAGCGATCCAGCAACCCCCATAGGATTCTTAACTTCTGCTAATGTAATACATGGTCTCTGAATAGACCCGGAGCATTAAAAATGCTTTTAGATCAACTTGACAAATACAGAATTGACATAGACGCTATCCAAGAGATCAGATTGACTGACTGGTCTAGGAATTCTTGAAAAATGGAACCATCTACTAAGCTGTCATAATTTGGTACCGGATTTGCGATAAAGGGAAAGTACGGGAAGTTGATAATAGGATTTGAATCAGTGAGCCCAAAAATCTGTCTCATAAGAATGTGAGGAAATTTTTACAATTATAGCCTCCTAAATGTACGTGTACATGTTCCCGCAGAGGTGAGTCTAGTGAAGAAGACAAGGATGCCTTCTATGAGCTTTTGGAAAGAACACTGAATGCTTGCCCTAGGTATGACATGAAAACAGCTACAGGAGATTTTAATGCTAAGCTGGAAAAAAAAGCAATATACCAGCGGATAATTGGAAAACATAGCCAACATGATGCAACTAATGATAATGGACAAAGGCTCATTAATTTCGCAGAGTCTAGAAACCTAGTGGTAGGGAATACTCTGATCCGCATCAGAATATCCACAACGGCACATGGATGTCACCCAACTAGTCAGTTGTCAACCAACCATTGACCATATTCTAATAGGAATACACCATAGAAGGAGTTTACAAAAAGGGAGAACATTCAAAGAAGCAATGTAGATTCGGAACACTTTCTGAGCATAGCACAGGAGACGGCGAGGATATGCTCGGTGAGGAATTCAAAAACTTCTGAGAAAACCAGAAGTTTCAACCTTAGAAAGCTAAAGGATTTACAGATTTACCATAACTATGCTAAAATATTATATACTAAATTAGGCCTGGAGAGCTACAATGCTGGCCAGGACATTGAAAAGTTCTGGTCGGACTGTTGTTAAGCGATAATGGAAGCGGCTGAAGAAGTGCTAGGACCATACAAGAAGGAACCAAGGTCACCCTGGTTTGATGAGGAATGCAGAGCAGCCACGAACATGAAGAACGTTGCATATGAAGCAATGATTAGGACAACCACAAGGTCTGTTGATGAATACTGACAGAAAAGGAAAGAAGAGAAATGTTTATATCGCAAAAAGAAACGACAGGAGAGGAGATAGAAAATATAGAACTATTACACCGTAACAATAAAGAGATTTCTTCAGAACGGTCAACAAGGAAAAAAAAGCAATATATTAATAAATTAAAAATCCTGTTGGGATAGAAAAGGTAACCTGATGATACTTCATCTTATACTACGTCTATAAGATACTTCTCATATTCTGTTTGAACGTCTTTTGCCATATACTGAACGTGAGCTCGGTCTGTACCAGAGTAGGTTTAGGAAAGGAAGATCCACCTCTGACCAGATGTTCTGTGTTCGAAACATTCTTGAAAGAGGCCATGAGTATGAAACTAAAACTCACTATCTGTTCCTCGATATCAGGGCAGCATAATACGTGAAGAACTGTATAGCTCTCAGAGCACTTAACATACTTGAGAAACTTACAAGTTTAATAAAGCTTACCATGAAGGATGTGAGATGTATGGTTAGAGTGAATGGTGATAGATTAGAAGAGTTTTGCGAAGGTAAAGGACTTCGACAAGGAAAAGTGCTGGCCTGTATGATGTTTAACCTAGCACTTGAGAAAGCTGTGAGACGCTGGTTTACGTGAACAAGGAAACATTTTTACCAGGATTGTCTAGCTGTTGGCTTATGCGGATGATATTGACATTGTGGGACCCTCCCTGCAAGCCATAACTGATGCTTTTCTGACACTGACGGGGTTAGCAGACTTGGATCAGAAGTTAATGAGTCCAAAACGAAATATATGGTAACAGAAGAAATTCCCACGCCAGGCGAGAGTCCCTATTGTGCCTCATACATTTGAGAAGGTTTAGGAGTTCACTTATCTAGGATCTGTAGTCACTCAGAATAATGACATTGGTCTCAGTGAAAGCCACAAACAAACAATATTGTTTTTATTATTATTATTGACAAATACAATTAAGGAATAAAATAAGTGAAAATAATGGCTAGAATTGGCCAAGGCTAACCATGCCAATTTAAAAGTAACTGTAAAGATAAATGGTTCTTTTCTGGGCTTCAAACCATTGCCCTAATGATGATCCAAATATTAGGGACAAAATGTTAGCCAAATCAATAATCATACTTTTTTTATTGCACATCCTGGCCATTTTTCATCCTTACTAATTTAACAGTAAATTATTCATTCATCTCTAAATTATAAAAATTAATGAATACATAATAATCACAAACTTAATAATTTTTAAAATTCCTGATGGTCAGAAAGTAAAAGAACATTAAGCTTATGTATAGTTGGATTTAATAATAAAACCTCTAAGTAAAAACATGTTAATCAAAGATAAAATAAAACTAAGGAAATCAACTAGATTCTAGTCATAATCTTTGAAATTATATTTAGTTTAATATAACCAATAACATTAAATGATTGAAATAATCAATTACCTTTGATGGAGGTGGAATTTTTGGCCTTGGTCTATGCATTCGTATTTCCTGATTATTAATACTCGTTCTATCATTCCGTGACATCATGATCAAATTAGTAGCCATTGGAGGAGATCTCACTCCCATTGGTGGAGTTATTGCTAAAAAAAGATCATAAATCTGTTATCTTCACAAAAAATATTAATTTAATTTGGAATACTACATTTTCAAGACGGTAAAAAAAAAAAAAAAATCACTACCAATAATATTGCTTAGATAAGACTGTACATCCAATTAGAGAAATAAACAATTATTTTTATGTTACACCTTGATTCTATTAATGAACTTGAGGATAAACCATGTTTCCCTAATAGCGGACCAACCCCCATTTTTTAAATTATACAACTGTTCATTTATTTGTACTAATTGTTGCTCAAATTGTATAACTTTAATTTACATGTATTCTGTAGTTCATATTGTATAATTTTTCATCGACATAAAATAAACTGTATGAAATCCCAGTTCTGACAAATTTTTAATTTCTTCCAAAATCTATATTATACATCACGTGTGCCTTATTGCCAATTTGTAATCATAATATATATTCAACTTGTCCAGCTTCAAATATGCTTAACCATAATTTTTAATATTTTCAATGTTCGTTATATTGTCGTTCCTTTTCTATTACATAATAATTTCAATTATATCACAATATAATAATTAATATATTGTATGCAAGGAGAAATGTCTAGATAGAAAAAATAACTGTTGCCACCTAGGTAAAATCAAAATACCACCTCCAGATGAATAAATACCATTTCCTGTACAAATTTTTAGTCTAAAATCTTTATTTTGTATTAGGAGAGTATTAGATAACAGGAGTTCAACACACATGTTATTAAATGAAGGGCTGTTTAATTAGTGCTAATTATAGAGCTAATATGAGAGATCCTGTAACCTCCTATTCTCCTAATACTAAAATAAAATCTGACATATACTAAACACTTTTTTTATTTAATAGTGCTGTAAAATCAATTACACTAGTGAAAAATCGCAGACTAATTAGATAATTATAAATTACAGGACAGCAGAAAGTATAGACGTGTAATTTATAGATACATCAATATAGCTAAATTTGTTGAGGTAAGAAATCAACTATATTTTTTAAAAACATTTTTTTTATAATGTTAGTTATTTTTCTTCTATGATACAAAAACATGTTTGGTCGCTTACATCCTCTATATCCAAAATTAGATACATTTGTTTATTTTGAAAATATAATTTCATAAACAATTAAGAAATATATATAAAAAAATTTTGCAAGCAACTAGAAAACACCTAACCTTTTTCAGAAATTTTTGATTCTTCTTTATTCTGATTCGAAATTAATAAAGAAGTTCTTTCTGCTCTTGGAGATATCATAATTAAATTTGATCCCATAGTAGGAGATCGCACACCAACAGGCGAAGTAATGGCTAAAAATTAAATAATTAGTTCTAAAATCCATGAATGTGTGTGTGCGTGTTTGTGAATAGATACATACATACAATGTATGTATTAATATTTTCATATTAATGTATATATAAGTATATACATTGAAAATGATAAATGCCAAAAGTTTATTATTTTAAAAGAATTAATTACTTAACTGATATTATACAAAATACAGATGAATCCCACAAATCCCGATCATAATTGTCTGATAATTAAAAAAAAAAAAATTTAATTTGAAAACTAAAAATTTTATTAAGCGAGTGGTATTTAGAAAATAATTAAAAGCGAGAGGTAGACTTAAGCTGAGGAGTTTTATAATCTTTGTTACTAGGTAAAATAAAAGTCAAATCTGTTTATTCTATGCTATAACCAAAACTGTTATATGTTTCAGAAATTCTTACAACAAACTTTACATTCATATGTTTCAGTAAAACATTTATTTTGTTTTAAATTTTAAAATTCTTAATTTCACATTGCAGCATTAGTGAAATAAAATATACATTGGTTTATTTACTGTAGTTAGATACTGTACAATAAATGCATTTCAAGTTTTAATCACTAAGATATTTTGTTTTGTTAACAATAACTCAGTTTGCAGATAGAAAAACTATGTAGTATAACTTATCTATAATTTAAAGGAAGGAGATGGTCCGGGGTTGCGGTCATAAAAAGGCTAAATAGTGGTAAAACTATTTTATTGAAAGCCTTTCAATAAAATAGTTTTACCACTATTTAGCCTTTTTATAACCGCAACCCCGGACCATCTCCTTCCTTTATAATGCAACGGTCAACCATTAAATATTCAATATCAATTCAATTAATTCAATTGATCAATAATTTAGTATTGAAAATAAAAATAAGTTGAAAAAATGTGTTCTTATGAGAAGAAAAAAAAGTCAAAAGGACAATTTACATCAAACTGTTTTATCCGGACGATGTAAGGCCCCATCGAGTATGGATTGGCGGGACTACTACACCATATTTATTAAAATTAATATTTTCTTAAAATGGGGTACAATCATAAGTTATAGTTAAACTTGTATGAGTTGTAGTTATACATAAATATAAAATCTGCTAGGTAGCTAATAAAGTAATTAATTAATTATGTATTATCACTCAACTTGACAAACGGATAACTTTGTTTTAACAAAATTAAACATTATACAGTAAAAGAACATTAATTAAGATTACCTGGTTCAGGAAGAGCTGTGTACGTTTGATGAAATGGGATAGTTAATGAAGTTAATTCTGGATTTTTACTTAAATTGCTCCCAGTTTTCCCAGAATTGATGTCAACTTGTAACTGACTCTTTTTCTAGAATAAAAATAAGTTACTTTCAGAAAGAAATTATTTAAAAACTTATATTACACAAACAAAAATTAGCAAGGAATTTAGTGACAGCACCTGTTTCAAACACAAAATAATATTATCAGGCTGACAAACATTAAAATTTAAAAGTTAATTATGAAAACCTGTGAATAACAAACTAAACTAATTTTAACATGCTGAGCGCATTCATTAGTGAGAAGGGCATCTATAAACTTACTTCGAAGTCATCAGTAACAATATTATTATTGCCAAGTAAAGAACTATTGATTGAGGGTGGCGAATTCCCGGTGCCAGATGACGTGTAAATCTGACTATTTGCCAAAGAGCCAGTATATTCCTCATTATCCCAATCCTCTAAAAGAAAAAAATATATAAATATAGCTGAACATCAGTAAATCTCTATACATAAAACTATTATCAATATAAAAAAAATTATTGAACCAAAAGTAGCATTAAAACTATAATAATGTTTAATTGCCATAAAAACAGATCATTAGTTTATAAGAAGGATTAAAAATTAAATATGTTTCACAGAGCACTGGAAACTAAGAGAAGACTTTATGTAAGAAAAAGTAAATAAGTTGGCCACAGAAGTAAGATTTTCGCAACCTCTTCCTTGCCATAGAGTAAAATTTTATAATAACTTTTATGTTTGGCAGGGATCCTAAATGAAAATCATCAAGTGTGAAATGAAAGTTACACTTAATAATAATGTAATAAGTATGATAAAAAATAATGATGTGGCAAAAATGTTAAATGATAATGGAATGATTAAATTCTTAAAGTTTGATAAAATCGATGAAGCAGTATTCAAATATTAAACATGTATTGCACTAAAACAATACTTTTGGTACTTCTTTAACCATAAAAAAAAAAAGGTTTCATGTTCAAAAACAAAGGTACTGGTAGCAAACATCAAATACAAGTTACCCATAATGATAAAAACAGTAGTAAACACCTCACTGTTCAGTTATACTTCAAACTGCAACACTAATGTGACCAAGAAAAACAAATGAGTACAAGCAATTTGAAAATTATTTTAAACTAATCTTATTCTGATCCTCACAGCTATACCCCATGAAAGTCACAAAAAAGTTGCAGCATGTGTGCTTGTCCATTATGAAAATATTTAAACTTTTAAAAAGGCCTTGGAAAGAAGCTACAAATCGTACATAGTACATATTCCCATCCTGATATTTATTTTGTTTCAGGTTAGAACTAAGTGGCAACCTATAATATAGGGATCTAAAAGGCAGATGTATGGGTATAATGGGAAATAAATTTTTAACAGAGATGTATGAAAAAGCACCAATCCACTAGTAGATAAAAAAGTGAAAAGAGATAAGGAACGGAATTTTAAAGGGTAGCGAATATCACTGGAAATAAAACTTCATTAGTCACAATAGAAGATTAAATAATGATAGTATAAATGGTTATAAGGATTAACAAAATAGTGAAATAAACCAAGAGAGAAATGAAGTGAGGGGAACGTGAGGTAATGTCATAATAAAAGAATTGTGTAAAAACCAATGAAGCGATAATAATAATATTTTTAACCACCATAATGATCATGTTCAAATGGGAAGAACCAGATAAATCATGTTTTAATAGAACATAAGTTGGTATTTACATAAACAAAAAATAATATAAGTAACTTATGAACAACCTGAGTTATTATCATGGTTAATATTGGAAGATACAGGGGGTCGCTGAGGATCCCAAGTGTCAATAGGCCTCCTAAATGTTCCTCTTCCTCGTCCAAAACCTCGACTCTGCGGTCTACCTCTACTACCACGCCCCCTGATTGGGCCATTAAGAACTTTTGAGGTCCTTTTAGAACGGTCACTAGTATCATTACTTTGAGAATCACTCGCTTGTCGTCCTCCTAAAATATATAAATATATGATTATTTTCATAAATATCCCATTGCAAAAGTAATATTAATACAAAACAATAATTAAAAATTAACTTACTAGACGAATTACTGGTAATACTATAATAGTTATTCCAATAGAAAGATAGAAGTATGACTAAAAAAGACATTAATCATACTTTGCACCTCATTTTAACATAAATGTTTAGTGTGTTTGAAACACAATGAGATTTTAACCATGGGGCATAATTTTTTTTTTTATCTATATATTTCATAAATGGAGGAAATAAGTCCAAAAGCATTGAAATAATACATCTTGTTGCAAGTCTGTGTCCATCTCTATACCCACAATATTCTTCATTCTCTTACGATGTAATTGAGGAATATTCTAAATTGCCAATCTTGTGATCAAGTAAGTCATGAGCAAACAAACTGACAAATGGCGATTCGAAAAGTGCTTCCTCCCACTCATTGAGGTAAGCATCATTTTCCTAAATTATACAGTAGACATGATTATTATAAAATAAAAAAAAATAACACTTTTACTGACTTAAAATGATATACAACGTTGTTCTCAGAATTTGTCAAGCCCTAACAATAATAAATATTTCTGTATAAGTGATGGGGTTTTACCATTAGTAATGTAAGAGAAATTCCCTGTCAAGATAATTATTTTGTTATTTATTACCTTCATAACTAGAAAAGATTAATGCTAAATTCCAGATGACCAGTCTTTCTGAATATGTTATCAGGAAAGGTAAACACAATTTTAAAAAGAACATGATATAACCCTTGGAGAAAGTAACAGAACAATGGATATGATAATTCAAGTAAAAAGTTCAATAACTACATACTTATTTAATTCCCATTCAATTTCCTTATTCTTTAGGAATAAATGCAAGTTTGCCATATTAGATTAATCCATTTACTGATAAACAATGACATATACATTATTCTCAGCATATGTCAACTAATATATATATTTATGTGTGCCGATAGGGTATTACTGTTCGCACTACAAGAGAACTCAACCTCAAAATTAATTTATATAATGTTATTAACTTTAACAGTCCAGTATTTTCCAAATATACACAATGTTTCAACTTGCACTGAAAGAGATTAATAACAATTTAACAGGATATAAAAAAAGTTATAAGTGCAAGGTTGTAGATAAAAAATGAACATGTTGAGAATAATTGTTCATAAATAAATTATAAGAATAATAATAATTCATACAAACCTCTAAAACCTCTTCCTCTTCCCCGAATATTTCCAGTTTTACTGTTTGCTGTTAATTTTGAATTCGCTATTTGATCCCAGTTTTCTTCTTCGGCTGGAGCATCTGATGTTTGTTCTTTTTCTTTCGAATTTTTATCTGCAGAAGTTCTGTTCTTTTTTTTCTTTGATGAAGTGGACCATTCACTCTTAAAAAAAATAATAAAAGATTAGAAAAGACGGAACTAATTATTATCTACCTTTATTTAATTATTCATTGGCAAAAGTAAAACAATATTTTGAAAACACTGGATAATATAGAAAATTAAACAGTCAAAATAATTCCTTATAGAATGACATTAAAAATATTTTGATATATAGTAATAAATGTTAATGTTAATACATATGAAACTTACTTCAATGCCCTCCAATAATAAATTAACAGCTCTATTGGGATCATTATCACAATCGTGCAATGCTGTATAAGCATCATCTATTGATTTCTGAGTAGCATCCATTACCTAAAATACAAACAAAATCAGATACATTTCAGAAACCTACTGACCACTTGAAAGACATATATAATTTTATATCAAATACAATATGATTAAAATATTAACTATAAAGAATATTTGTTATTCATTAATTAATATACCTGTTTTAATTTTTCCTTCAAATAAGGGTCTTCTGTCTTAGTGTCAATAATTTGGGCTATCCTCATTTGTTCAGCCGTAGGCTAAAACCAAAATAAAATAATATTTTATAAAAATCTTTTTTTAAATCTTATTTTAATGAAATTTACAACTGTATTACATGTAAAATACAACAAGTAAATGTGACATTGGTAACATGACATGCACAACATGAAGAGAAACTACCCATTGGTAGAACTCAAAATAAAAATCTTAGCTTCATATCTGTATAATAAACCAATCAAAATAATTCCTTATAGATTGCTGACAAAAAAGTATTTGCTATGTAGGAAAAAAATATGAATTTAAATAACAGAAGAAACATAAAATCAAAATCATGAACATAATAACACTAAAACACTTTATTAGTTGTTTGAAATAAACTCAAGATGATAAAAAATAGATTTAGCTTCAACATAAATAAAGTGAACAGGATAGCAGAGCATGTTGGGGTGTGGGACCCAGCGTGCCTAGTTCTAAATGTTACGGGTTTAAACCCCACCTGGGTCAGTTAATTTTCATTTCTCAGAGATTCCAGAAAATGAATTTTGACATTCCTACTACGGTAAGTACGCAGTGACAACTTCAAGATAGCTAACAAGGGTTGGCAAAAAGGTGTGGCCAATGGTGGCCCACTTTCCCGACTAGTTCCCTTCCAGGACCAGTAATATAAAAAAACAGTATTAAAAGATGTAGTGTAAATACAATTTATTCCTTTGTTACTATAAAAAAATAATTAAGAATAATGAAAAAAAAAAAATCAATGAAGTGGAATTAAAAAAAAAAAATTCAGCCATATAGCAATATTTTTCAGTGCCTTATGAAACAATTTAACACGAATAAAATGAAAATAAATAAAAACTAAGTCACAAAAAATGTTATTGCTATGCACTAGACAGGAATTTGATATCAAGGCACTAAGATTTGAAAATAATTTATTTGATAAAAATCAATATTCTTTCTGAGGATTATGGAAAAAAAAAATTAATGTTTAATTCCAATCCTTATAATTTGAAAACGAAAAATTGATTAGTTTATAATGGAGAAAATACAATAAATTTTTAGTATAATCCAGGTTTTAATAATTGAGAAAATGTTTAACATTAAGTAAAGAAAAATATTACATGGCGTTTACAGCAAACTAATAACAAATATATCACACTTCAAGATGAAATTTTTTTTGTTAACAAAATTGAAGTCCACTGTGTGTCAGCTCTATCACATATGCCAAGTAGAACACTACTTGTGTCAATTGGTTTGGTTGGATATTTGAGGGATGGCTACTCTAGGGATAATAGGAGTACTACTAATTAATTTTATCAGCACACGCTCTACAACCCATTACGTAAACTAGCCACACAAGTTACTACCTCTACTCTTTATTGTCTAATGTCTCAGGATCTGATCTAAAAATGACACCAGCATTTATATCACTCAAACTTTTTCGCGTAAATCTTAGTCATAGTTGTTCACTTTTCCTTTTTACCATTTACATACCCAAATAATAAATCTTTTTAGAGAAGCATTGACCTCCATCCTAGCAATATAAAAATCCCATCTTACAGGTAAAAATTGTCGTATGCCCCATTATGTCTGCCTTTTCTTAAATCAGATGCAGCACTGGATTATGCCTTAGATAGATTATGACAAGAGGTATTTAAACTATAAGTCACAAAAATCTCCAATCCGGACCCGCTAAAGTTTCTTTGATTAGATGTTAAAAATATGAAATTTATTAAATAACTCAAACACATAGTAATAATACCTTTAATTGCAAGAGTTGTTTTTCTTATAAAGATAATTTCACAGCGAAAGTGTCATTGCTAGAACAAGTTCTTTTTTTCACAGTGTTAGCCCAGTAACCTTGTACATTGTAAGTTGCATTGAATGGGGGTAGGTTTCTTTTTATTTTCTGGTATGGGATAAGACTGAAATGAAAAATACAAATTTTCGAACTCGGCGCCCTCCTCGGATCTCTTTTGAATATCCCCCAAAACTGTAATTTTCTATTGCTAAGAAATGCAACTGCAAAAACATTTTCACACTTTTTTTTGGTTTTCCTCATTTTATCCATGAAGGAGAAAGTTTTTGACTAAAAAATATTATACATTTTTAAACTAGATTAAATATGCTACAATGTAACACCAGAACAGGCTCAGTAAATTAATAGTTTATGAGATACAGATTTTTCATTCAAATTATTTTTTTCTGTTTGATCACATACAATTGTGTTTTATCTTCAATAATTTGTCTGATATGAGTCAGCGAAGTAAATATTTATTCATTTTAATATTTTGAAGGAGGGGAGGAAAAGATTTGGTAGAGGGCACTATAAATTGTATATCATTGTGTTCCTTGCAACTACATATTAAAAAAAAAAGGCAATGTTCCCATACCAAAGTGGGCTAATGGCGTCCAAACATGGCAGAGTTATAATTTTGACTTAAGTTAGTTTTTCGGTCACTGAGATTCAGCAGTTAGATTAATTTTGTCATAATTGATCTTTTATTAAAGCTAGATAGTCAGAGTAGAATAAAGCTTCAAACAAATTTAAAAAATAACTGCTCAACTTGGATTTTGCATCTCAGTAACATCCCATACAAAAAAAGAAACCTTCTATCCCCATTCGATGCATCTTAGAACCCCTTTTCAAGACAACGTAGCAACCTTGTTCCATTAACCTACTAGACTAAGCCTAGAGCCAAGGCTCAAAAATTGAACTCATCGCAGACGAAGGTTTGATTTTAAATTACAAAAGTGTTTGTTATTCTGAGTAAAAAGAACGTTGTCTGCCGTTCCAGAGCTGCTGCTTTCAAAAATGGCAGCTGATATAAAAAATATTACGCCAGTCATTTGATGATCGAAACAGGAAATCCATTTCGAAAAATGTAATATAAGTTTTTATTTTTTTAACTTGCATATATGGATTTAGACATGTAAAATACAAAATTGCTAATGCGAGCCATCAAAGGAAAACTTTTTACAAGCAAAAAAGTCATATTCCTTCAATATTTTTTTTACCTATAACTCCTAAACAATGCATCAAAGTGAAAAATGTATTCTTTAAGAAATTAAAAAACATTGAATTGTGCGTCACACGAGTACATAAACTTTGTAATTTGGTTACGTGGTATGGTAGAAAACCACAGTCAACCAACACTGATTTTTACCAAATTTGTCAAAAACTGAGACAAATTACTATAAATGGCTCTGTAGGAAATGAGGTCCTTAAGAGGAAAACTCCATAGAATGAAAGTTAAATAGCATCAAATTTTGCGTCCATTGAATACCAACTAATTTAATGTAGGTACTCGATTCGATCCTCATGTTACTGGCCTAATATTCTTTAAATCAGCTGCCATTTTTGAAAGCAGCAGCTCTGGAATGACAGACAATACATTTTACTTATAATAACATACAGTTTAGTAATTTGTATTCAAATCTTTGTCTGAGATCAGGTCGATTTTTTGGACCTGGCTCCAGGGCTATTAGCAGACATCTCAATGTGGCCTGGAGGCCAAAAAGTTTTGTTACCTCTACCTCAGACTAAATTGAGCACCTACAATTAGATTAATAAATATGCTTAATAGATTACTTAAAAAAGCATTAATAATAACGATATTTTCCATAATAAGCAACTTTTTAAGATTTGTGATATTTCAAAAGGATATATAACATTTATAGGTGGCCGAAACATTTTCTTCTACTTCTACAATTAAAATTTTAGACAATAGAAATTTTGAGCTGTTCACCTTTTATTCAGAAACACTCCAATTGAATAAAGCAATATCCTACACAATAATTTTAAAATATTTGAAATAACATGTACACAAATGTTTATAATAAAAATGCAATCATTAAATTAAACAAATAAAGACTTTTCGTGTTATTGTTTCATATCAACCTTTTATTTAAAAAAAAAAAAAAATGTATATATATATAAATAAATATAAGATAAGTAATATTATTTTCCAACCTGTGCCTTTTCTGATTGTTTCATAGATTCTTGTTTGTTGTCAGCTTTAGAAGCTTTTGTTGTTTGCGAATTTTCAGTGTTCTTGGCTTTTCGAACTTTACTTGGTAAACTCATTGTTTAGTTGTTAAGTTTCAAATTATATACAATTATGTACAACCCCTGAAAAATAATAAAGTAAATTAGTTTAGAGTCTACTGATGCATTGTATATTTTCTTTCTTTCATTAAACAATAACAGTATGATCTCATCAACATAGGCATTGGATATATAAAATTACTCAACAGAATGTCATTATTTTATCATTGGATAAAAATAATTACAATTAACTAATTTGGAGAATGCTTAGAAACATATAACAAAACTGACAAACATACTTAGAGGAAGTTATCCTTTGTAAATGCAGTTAGAATTATTTAATTAAACAGATCAGTGTAAAGAAATACCACAAAACTAACCTGATTGTCATAAACAGCAATAATTGAAGCAATAAAATAATTCACGAGCAATTAAGATCTTATCCTAAGAAGTATAGTTATACACTGGAATAAGCCACAGTTATTAGTCATGGAGTTGACAAATTATCATTTAGATAAAGATAATTTTTAGAGTTTAAAAGAACCACGGGCGGATCTACGGGGGAGGGGGGGGAGGGGAGGCTTTCGGGCTGAAGCCCCCTTCCCCCAAAATGGAAAAATATAACCATGTTTTATGGGAAAAATAAAATAAAAAATACCTCTTAAAGTATTATTGTTCGTGTAATTACATTTAAAAGTACTTAAGGAATAACTTAAACACCATTTCATATAGGTAGTTAGTTTCTTTCCGTTTTTCCAAAGTAATTATTGTTATTTTTATGAAAAAAAAAAGGTTTCGGGCTGAAGCCCCCCCCCAAAATTAAATCCTGGATCCGCTAGTGATAAGAACATAAATAAACTATTGGTGTAGAACATGGCTGGCCAGATGGCAGCTCCTCACAATATCACTTTATAGAAAGAATTTAAATATTTTGAGTGTAACAAAGTCTTCCAGAATGTAAGTGATGACAATGGATTTTCATACCTTCCTATTAATTTAATTTAACCATATTATATTGAAATAGTTTGATGGAAATGAACAAAAATTTATGGCTCCTACCAATGATAATCAAGACATATATATATATATATTTAATTGTGTACAATAACTATGAACAACCATAATTATGAATTTAGGAATTAAAAGTAGGTGATAGAATATTTTAGATATTTGGTAAAACCAGACCTCAACAGAAAAGGACACGTTGGGGGATTATTCATCTCTTGAGGACTGAGTCCAACAGCCACAATATAATTAAAGCAGTGATGAATTAAATAAGCACTAATAATCCTTACAAATAGAAAATATCGGGACCATATATTAAATTAAAAAATCAAGTTGTGTTCATGTAACAAGATGTACCTTTTTGTGGTTATTTTAATTTTGCCATATAAATTTCCATAGATGTGCTTATGTACATATAGAGAAATGTTTATAAATTAATCTACAGTGTGATCATGTGAGCTTGAGGTCAGCCATAATTTTCCCGGCCTTGTTTTGTTAAGTGATTATGGTTAAATATATCAAGTGATAACAATAACAAATATAAGCATTATTATATTGAATAATAACTTAGATAATGAAAAAAATTAAAAACAGAACTATAAATTATGATAGACTATCTAATGTAAACTGAAGGCCGATAAAAATAAAATTCATTAAACTTAAAGCTGTAATGGAAGCGCTAAAGATTTTAAAAGTTCCACGAACAGGCTTTTAAGATAACTATACTATTCATTAAGTTATCATTCAAAATTTTTTATATTATTTAAATGTCAAAATAATAACCATGATGAACACTGGACTAATTTACTAGAAAAGAAATATTAAATAACTTACTAGGCTCGTTTAAAGAATAAAAAACTCGTACTTAGAATGGAAACTACCTGAAGTTTCAAGATGAATATAATTTCAATATAGTTAAGACATAAATCGTGTCAACATCCTACGGTTTGTAAGTATCAATAAATGCATTTGTTTTAGTCAGTATTATGGAATTTCAATGGTAAATTACCACAAATAATATTAACACAACAATAGCCTACTTCTAATAATCCTATAACTAGTAAATTACTTTAAATACTATTTAAAACAGCTGATTTTTAAAACACATCAATAATTATAATTGCTGCCAAAAAGAACAATAACAATAAAACTTTCACAACTATTTTCAACCTCAAAATATCACCACAAAATTTCGCATTCTTTGTTCAACAGGACACAAAACATACACAGTGAAAGCCACCTTCCCAATCAAGCAGATAATGACTTTCAATCCTAAAATAAATAAACCACTAAGTTAATTAGTAAACAAACTGCCAATCAGTAATACGTTAATACAGAAGAATAAATAAATGTATACATATTCAGACAATTAGTTAAGGAGAAAAACAATTATAATTTGAGAACGAAAAACATATATATTGTTTCAAAACAAAGTAACAAAATGTTAGACATTTTATTATGTAAAAGACCTTGTGAACTATTATTTGTTTTAAAGGTTATCATTTGACAATTTGAAACATTTAATACTAATTTTGAAAACTTGAAAGGATGGTTTAACAATTCTATGAAACCCAAGAACAATACAACACTTATAGATAGAAGTACATGAATATAACCCGCAATAGGGAAGGTTCTAAATGAGATACCTACAAATACCAATAGCTATAAAATACTTAATTTAAACATTTAACAAAGTAATAAAAAAAACAAATATAAAAAAATTATTTTGTAAAAATAAACACTGCTATTTAAGAAATAAGTAACTTTCTCTTTGTTCAAGTAAAGGTCATCAATGTTATGAAGTGCAATGTTTGAAAGAGGCAATTTCACAAACAATCAACAAATAACAAGATCCAGGTTATTTCTAATTCAGCAGAACCCAAACTTAAAAAACTCTCAATTCCCTGAAAACATATAAGAAATCAAAACTATTTAATTAAACTTTACTATAAACCAAACAGAGAAAATGGAAAACAAACTGAATAAATTCATTACAACAAACATAAATACTGAAAAAATAACAATTCTAACCTAAATGAACTTCCTACATACCAGATTCTGAGAAATGGGTGTAAACATTAATAAAGTTTCAATGAATATATCTACAAAGTTTAAAGCCAGCACATTAACCTCAACCTGTCAAATTGTCTTGAATTAAATTCTTCTCAGTAACTCTCATTGCACTTATAACAGAAAATATTCATACCACTATCTTCAAAAAACAAGTACTTAATAATTTTAAATCCTACATGACTTAATTATTACATTCTAAACCATTTTATCAAACTTAATCATTGATTATTTATGAAACACTGACATTGACATACAAATTACAACTTATAACAGCTATAACCTCGTACAGACATCTATTATAAACAAAATTGTTTTGATATTTTGACAAAACCAGATAAACAACAAAAAAAATTCTTAATAAAGAGAATTTAGTTTCATTTAAGGTTTTTGACAATTATTAATAACTAAATGTCCTACCTTTAGAATGAGAAATAAAAATTTAGCGCTGTTTATGGATGAAATAATGAAGAAAGAATATAACAAAACAATTTTCACAAATAAGATTTAACCACTCGTACCCGGTTACATACTACCATGTGGGAGGGACGCCATTTCGTTTTGTGTTACAGAGAGGCAAAAACTCCGGGAGCAAACACACTCAGCTTCATTTCAAGTCACATGCATTTAACATTAAATTCTGATTAAATAACGATATAAATGTACACTGATATTAAACAGGCACTTATGAAAAATTATCACAACAAAGATTGTATAACCTGAATAAGTTCTAAATAAAACTGAAGGTACCTGAAGAATGTTTAATTCCCTGCCCAACTGAATCACGTCATCAACTGAACTGTTATCAGTAAAGTATATACAATGTTAAGGGGGTGCAGTTTCAGTAATTATTTAGACATTTTATAATATTATATTATCTACCATTATATTTTTAAAATATTAAATAAAAAATAACAAACATTGTCAAATATAAAGTTAGGTACTCCATAGAACATATTAAAGGTTTCTGATTTGAGTGAGCTCTTTGTTGGCGGGAAGTTTAGCTTTCAAGTTGATTTATACTATGCTGGGTTATAATGTAAATGGATCACTCTACTTATCTAATAGGAGGACTAATGATAATAAAATAAATACAACCCAGGTTCCGATTAAAACATACTAATACTTCTCAGTATCAAAATGCATACCACGCGTATATTATTTTAGAAGTTGGTAAAACGAAATAAAAATTACGACATATTCCCGTCTGCCATGTTTTATGCTTTATAATCCTTAGATAGCTTGAATAAATATATATAGGTAAGAATTAGAATTAGCTTAATCTTAATTTTCCCTTCTAAACAGTTGCTATTCCATACACACTGGCATCTTTTCCATTAAGCTTCAGACAGAGATGGACAAATGCTACTCTAAGTACTGACCTTTTTACTCAAATACTGACCTTTTTTTAGTACCAAAGAATTTAATTACTACTTCAGTTGATGTCAAATGAGTAAATGAAGTAGTGATTCAATTCCCAATAGTGATTCAATTTGAGTAAAATACTTGGTATTCGCTACTCAGAGTAGCATTTGCCCATCTCTGGCTTCAGACTCCGTGTCCCTTAGTGATTTGTTTTCCTTCAAATCTTAATTGCTAATTACTGTAATAATATATTAAATTTTATCCTTCACTTACCTTATCGTTTATACACAGTTGGCTTACTGATTGACCATTCTCTTATCTTTCCGGTATGCTCGAAGTGTCCTACTAACTGCAGGGTGGTGTTAATAGCATAACTTCGGACAGGAGAAATAATATACGTTAGATGAAAATAAAGCCATCCACATCAATTTAAACTTGTCTTGAACATTCTTCAATTTATTTCTGTTCACTACAAAGCATTAAAGATCTAGGAGTAAATTAAGGGATGGTTAGGAGAATAGCCAACATTCCCATACCAATGAAACATTCTCCTCAATTCTCGAACAAATACTCAAAACTCTTATTTCTTCCCTCCCCGACTTCGCTCCAACTTCTTGTATCTTCTCTTATTTTCTTCCAATGCTTAGTTAACGCTCCTAACCCTGATAATAAATAATATTGATTTTTTAATAACAACTAGTACGAACTTTCAATCAAACATACTAGATATGGCTATAAATGTGATACCAGGAAATACACGTCACATAAAGGTCGATGCTCATGAGCCGATCATGTAAACAAAAGATGTCAGCCAGTTGTTTCACGTCTTATCTGTTGAAATGACACTAAAATCCAACCAGCTAGACCGATCAAACGCAGAAGGTTTTAATGTCAGCTCATCCCATGGAGATTAACGTGTAAGGATGATGAATCGGTCTTTCTTGAGACGGATTCATGAATAAGTAACTTAAACACTAGTCAGTAATGGCAATTTTCGATAAGTGTTAAAATCTGTATAAAAAACAACCTATTTAACCAGACATCGGTATAAATATAATCTCAAATTTGTTTTTAACTAAAAAGCGATGATCGTTATTAGAGATAGAAATGGCTGGTTTGGGCAGCATTGTCTGTCATACTTTTGGGTGGCAAAAGAAATCTCGCGAATCTATTCCACCTAACAAGTGGTGCACGTTTTAATTGATTTAATTCACATAAGTCTAACAGCCGACGAGCTACTCATAACAGCAACCAGCTCTGCTGAAGTTTCTCCACTGTACCTCACGACTCTGAAACTCAATAGTTTATTGAATAATTTTCTGCTTTCATATGAACTGTTATATTTTTCACCCTGGATACAATAATTTTCACTATTGAAACGGTAGATTGGGGGGGGGGGGGAGGGAGAATTAATCTAGCTGAAATTACAAGGCACAGAACCAATTTAGTTTTAAATAGGACTACATTACTAACTTCTTCATTAAGGGGCGGGATCGATTATTAGTATGATCTCTTCAGCCAGTCCACTGGTCCGTTCACGTGGACGATATTGAACGAGATCTGAAATGTCCAAATATCGAATTCGAATATGGGAAGACATAACGAAATAGCTGCCATCCAGGATACCCGTCACAGTCCATACGGTTTCCGGATTGGTGTTTGCTTAATGTGGATTGGAACATGGATCGCTTGAGGCCTTGGAGGTCTTGGGGTCTCTTCCTTTACTATTCCATAAGTGCTTTTCACTTCCCATTTGGAAAGGAAGGAATGTGAAAAAGAAGCAGAAAGAGGTCCATCACTCACAACATGTCTTTCAGAAATAGTTTCAGACGATTTCAATTTACATGGTACAATGCATCAAATTTCACACACCTGGAGTTCCTGTAGCACTGTTAGCAGTAAGGCTCACAAGCATCTGACAGTGGTTATAGACGATCATGTAGTGTATTTTGCTCCATGTATTGGAGAAAAGGTTCTTTTTTTTTACAAGGTAATGTAAAACTACATTTAGCGACTTACTATGAATCTACATGAAATGGAGACGCTTTTGTTGCAGATCTTTCCGGGTTGCCCATATCTCAATCCCATTGGTCGTGATTGGACATAGTGGGGCGCTAACGGATCCAGGATTTAATTTTTGTTTTGGGGGGGAGGGGTGGACCTCAGCCCGAAAGCTTTTATATATGTACATAACGATAATTACTTTGGAATAAAAAGAAAGAAACTATATGAAATGGTGAAAGGAACAATAAGTGATTCTTGAAGACTTGTTAAATGTAATTACAAGAAAAGTAATTCTTTTAAGAAGAGATCAATTTAAAATATTTTTTTCATAAGACCTGATTATGTTTTAAGGTTTTTTTGGGGGGGGAGGGGGTGCTTTCGGGTTGAAGATGATTTACGGTAGATCCGCCTCTGTGGTGGGGAGACGACTGAAAAGTTGATTAAGCCTTCAGAATAACGTGAATGAACTCGAAATTCCAGTTCATATGCTCCAGATAGTGATTTCTCATATGCCAGAAAGATATAATCCGTGCAAATACTGGAGTTACAAGATTATACATTCCCTTTAATTTTAATTATAAGTTAATAACTATTTACGTTTTTTTTTTTTTATCTTTCCAAATTACAAACAATCTATTTTTTTAAATTAAATAAAAATAGACCAGAGAGACATTTTTTTACTATAAAAAATATATGTATATCCAATGATTTTGCTCAACGGTTTATAAAATAAAGCTTTTTTTGTATATTAACATTTTTATTTTCCCACCTTATATATTTTTCTTTAGATATGTTTCATGTATATATTATCTTTTGTTAAAATGAAGCTATTGGATATAGAAGTACTGACCATTCCAGTAGATCTATACATCTCTATCAACTCTTTTTATCATAAATGGTTTTCCATTTATCACCTGTTATTTGGATCCTCCTAACTCCTAGGATGTATATATTTTCGTCTCCCACAAAACCAGGAGTAGAATAACCTCCATTTGTGTTTTTTTATGTGCATATTGCATAGATGGTCTGAATATTTAAGAAAAATTCTTATAGAACCTAAGCATCAAGATAGAGAGGAAAGAATTAAGCTGCTGAAATGCCTAAGTGCCTATGCCTAGGTGTGCCGGGAGAGGGAGATGAAGAAGTAGAGCAGCCTGAACAGGAAGAAGTTTAAGAAATCATTGGTGAATTAAGGAACAATAAGGCTTCCGGCATTGATGGCATACAATCAGAAATGCTCAAAAATGGAGGGTATGATTTAAAAGGATGTATGTCCCAATTGGTGAGGGATGTTTGGTTTGAAGAGAGAATGCATAAAGAGCGGAAAATAGCAGGATAATAGCATTCATAAAAAGGCGAAAAACTATCTTGTGATGATTATCGAGAGATCGCACTACTAAATACAGCCTACAAAGTATTCTCTGTATTATTGAACCGACGGCTGATAAAGTTTTTCGAACAGATAGTGAGTGGGCGACAATCAATGTGGTTTCAGTCCAGGAGGAGCAACCTGCTATGTATTGAACATAGCAAATAATCTTTTTTTTTTTTTTTTTTTTTTTTGATTTCAATCAAGTAAATTTGGACATAATTGATATAATGACATGAATACACTTGCTGAGTAACTACCCAATGGTAGCACTCTAATGATATGACTACATTAGGAGATCACGGGGCCATCTTCTTTTCAGACGCCTCGGAGGGTTATCAGGAATTGAAGAGGAAGCAAGGTTAGAAACGAGAGGGTTGGGATGATTCTGAAGTTTATTATGGAAGGATAGGTGCAAATAATCTTTTAAAATTATTATGAGGTGCCGAAGGTAAAGTTGAAATATGCTGACACTAAACACATCTGCTGACATCAAAGACAGCGTCAAAAGGTGGAGATCAGGTACCTAAGGACCGAGGGCTCTGGGGAAGGCCAAGAAAAGGAGTAACTGGTAACTGGTAACATGTTGAGTAACTGGTTCTCTTCAGGGTGTGACCAGTTAAAATATTGTACACCCGTCGAAGTTAAGAACCTATCAAAATAATCCTTGCCCCACCCTGGATATTTGTATAAAATCTAGCAAGAAGTAAAAAAAGGAGGCCTTATGTTTTTTTTCCGGCCTTGGGGATTGAAGATGCAGCTTGGCCTACACAGACCGGCGAGATGGGCGTCTTGGCAGAGTTTGGACCTGGGCTTGACGAGAAGATGAACTAGTAACACGTAGTGATGTAGCGACCAACACAACCTAACCACATCGTATTTAGAGCATCAGATAAGTTGTAATTTCCAACAATAGATTTACTAATGTTAAAATATTTCATGGCATAATTCTCAAAAAAAGTCCATCTGAAATCATACCTTCACAGTTAATTATTAAATTCATTGAATCATGTATTAAGTTTATTGTAAATAGT